AAACCCAATTTCATTTGGTTGATTCGTTTAGTCCATTCACAATATCAACTGTTATAAACTATTATAATTCATGGTACATGTATATCAAGCATGGGCATTGATTCTTAAAAACAATTTTTATGGTATTTAGTTTGGTTGAGAAGCTGGGCGAAGTTAACTAGATAAATTCAAGTTAAAGTTTTAAGAAGGAAGTCTAGCTCTTTGTGATTTCAGTACGATTATTGTCAACTTATGGAATAGTATATGAACAGAGACGAAAGGCTTTATGTAAAGAAACGACATCTGCCATCGTTTTCTTGTATGAAAATAGTAAAGATGATTAAAAATATTGGACAATTCTGTAGTGTCATGTTGGATAAACGCATAGAAGGTTATATAAACATTAATTTGTACACATATTTGCTATGTGTTTTTGTTCTATTGTAATTTTGACTTTTTTTATATGCCCACATTTTCATGTGGACGTATTATGCTGTAGTCTCTGTCCATCCACAATTTGTTTTTGGACACTTTACAGGTGACAGTTTTTATCCTATTTTAATGTAATTGAAATATAGGTCTATCTCCCAAAGATCTTGGTTCCTTTTGACATGTATCAGACCATAACTTCATGGATTATGGCTCCTGATTGTACGAAAAATCACGTTATTAGCTTGTGGACACTCTAGAGGTCAAAATTTTCTTCTGATTTTGATGCATGTTTATAAACCAAAGATCTTGGTTCCTTTCGATATTCGCGCATATCGAATCGTTACTTCCTAAATTTTGGCCCCTGATTGTAAGAAAAATCACGTTAAGAGGTGACAATTATTATCCAATTTTAAAATAAACGTTTGAATAAATCACTGTTACACTGTACGGTCGGTTGAGTTCGTATTATAGAAAATCGGACTAAAACTACCAGAAAAAATGGCTGTCCATTATACATAAATACTGTAAAAATATGGTATATCAAGGTTGTGGACCCCCTAGAGGTCACAATTTTTGTTCAATTTTGCTGAAACCTAACATATATCTTTATATCCCAAAGATCTCAGTCCCTGTCGATATTCACGCATTTCAGACCATAACTTTTTGGATTACGGCTCCTGATTGTACAACCCCAAATTATGACTCCGCCCAACCCTGTCGAGAACTCAAGACTTCATTCAAGGGATGAGGCGTGTTCCAATCAGATGATTCAAGGTAACCTAGGCCGCCATTACTGTTTCTCCCATAACAAACTTCCTTCATCCCCACACCCCAATGAAGTAGACATGTCATAAAATCTATTTCAATTGTAAGTCATGACCTACAATTTTCAACTTGTGTTTATCCTGGTTTAAAAAAAAAATTACATGACATAATTTATCTTTCAAAATGGCAACTACACCAGCATGTTAACGACGTTGACCTTTGAACCAAAATAACAAATGATGGTTGTTTCATGGTTAAAAACTACAAATGAAGTTAGTAACCACAAGCTGGGTGTGTTTATGTCCTGAACCATCCTGAATCATGTACAAGAATGTAGACAACCAAGGTTAAATTGTTAGCCTTTGTTACTGAATGATTTTGACAATTTTATTTTTAGGTTATGTAGATATTTTAATTATAAAAATGCAAATGTTTCTATTTAAAATGATACAGTTTGGGGTAAGGGAGGGAGAATGGTGAATATAAACTTTTTAAATTAACCTATTGAGATATTCGTTAGTTCAGATAGTTCATTCAAAATCAATGTCTGTGACGTACATGGGTGCTATAAAGGCTGATAGGGAAAACGCAGATGTTGTGTTAATAATAAACATTGGGCTTTTTAAAATGTTAAATAGCAAGACGTGATGCAAAAATTACATGGACAGCCATGTAGCTCTGAGGAAAAAGTGTAATATGACTTAAAGGCGCAAAGCAAAAAAGAAAATATCAATAGTTGATATTTTATGCTGCTTGTAAACAAAATGTCTTCTTTTTTTGATATATGTCTTCATTAGCCGGATTGGTGCAGGAAAGTAGGACGTTAAACTCCATTTCATTGATTCAGTTATTTCATATACTGTGGCCTATAAAGGTATTTTATGCCTAACTTGTGCAACATCTTGCAACAGATTTAATTAAATGCCATATCAATTATGTCCATTTGAAATTGATGGCTTAGAAAAAAAATATTTGAAACTCAAAAGTTTGCCTACATTGTAAATGTATGAACTGATATGAACTTCCTAATGTATAAAATAAAGTCTGTAACTGATCTTTATGATTGAAAGTATAATACTTTATTATCCCTCAAACCAGCCTTGAGTGTTTATCTCAACTGTATTATAATGTCTTATATAGATAGTATCTATATAGATGATACCAAGTAGATATATATTTATTGCCTAGATATCACACTAGAGAATTGTAATCAGCTTGATCGACTTCCTCTCCAATGTTTACACTGGACAATCTTTAATGTGTAAATTTAATAATCATTCACCTGTCAGAATTCATCATTATCTTGGGTCAAAAGTTAGACAAAAATTGAACCTTGTTCATCGATTGCTGAACACCTTCTATGACTAATAATCATAATATTTGTAGTATTGATTATAGGAAATGGATAAGAGCAATCTAAAGTCTATGGGCTGATTAAACTGAGGCTATGTGATGTCTCCGTTTCTCTGTTAATCTAGTACTCATCAGATGATATTGATTATTAAACTTTACACTGTGACTTTCAAACATTGAACAAAGAACAAATTTGTGTTGACACAACTTTTATTTATTATTCACTTGATTCTGTAATCTAAGTTGTGGTTAACTTTTGTGTCCAAAGCAAGGATTGTCCGACTGTAACATCAAAAGACTTTGATTTGATTTTGAACAGATTGCTTTTAAAAATAAGAAATGAAGCATGAAGTGGGCATATTGTGTAAAAAAAAACTATAGAAGTACATCACTTCCCCCATGATTAATTGAAGATTAAGTATTAATGTCAAAATAAAAAAGTATATTTAATTGTTTAGTGACTGGTGACCTACAGAGAGTGACTGTGGCTGGTATTATTAAGTACCAATATAAGCTAAGAGTATATAGAGGTTTTCCTTCCTGTGTAGTGGTTATATGATATATCTTAAACTGTTTACTCCACCTTTTATTGTACCATATGTAAGAACCTCTTGATTCTTCTTTTCCATATCAGTCGGAGCAGAACAGTAGGGCGTTAAACACCATTTCGTTTTCATTTAAACAGTACAGTATTAATATATGGTTGGACTTCGATTAAAAATTGATCACTGAGCAAAAAATAACTCTTTTGGAACATCTATTTTTATGCATCTGTCAGTTTGTTTTGTCAGCAAATTGTTTTTGTTATAAAAGATTTCAGACTGTCCTAATATTAAATTTCTGAAGAATGAGTGATTATTTGATTTTATGTTTATTGACTTTGATGTAGTGCTCATTATTACATCTTTGATGTATTCAATGGCGCTTTACATGAACAGATTAAATCTCAGTTACGGCTATAATCGAATATTAATATTTATGATTAATTTGAACTGACGCCAAAGATTAATATGGTAAATGTTTGAGGTCTCTGGAAAAAAAACAATGTACTTGGTCTTCTCCCCATTCGCTTACAATTGATGAAAAAGGTATGCCTGTGAGTTTTGAAAGATAAATTAAAAACCCATTTTGCATACAGAGTCCTTGATTTCAGATTAATGCCACTGCTATTTGATATGAGCCTTAACTATTTTTCCAAATAGAATCTGGGACCCTGAAAATCTTGGGGCCTTGGCAACTGCCCTGTGTAGCCATGCGATAAAGCGACCCACCAGGCTATATATTGTCATCACCCTTGTCTGTTCATTGGTTGTTCAGTTCTTGTTGATACAGTAGACTACAATAATCAGTATTCTGTTAAAAGGAAGAACCCTATTGATTTCCAATTGCAACTTCCAGAGTTCTTTACCTCGGTGAAAAAATAATCTTGTTAGCACCTTATAGGGTTAATTTATGATCATGAAAAAATCTTGTTAGCACCTTTTTATTGGCCCGCATTGAAATGTGGTCGTATATTACCGTCGGCCCCATTTATCCGGTGTGAACAAGCTCTAGATGCTAAAGTTAATATGCGATTGACTTTACATTTATACACAATGTTTACGGTCATGAGACGAAGAAGCCTATTAATTTTCAACTATTTTCGATAATTACTGCATGAGTTATAGCCCTTGACCTCTTTGAAAAATCTTGTAGATGCCCTTGAGGCTAAAGTTAATATCTGATTGCCTTTAAACTTATACACAGGGTTTTAGGTCATGAGACAAAGAATCCTATTCATTTTCAATGGTTTCTGATAATTACTGCCAGAGTTAAGGCCCTTGATTACTTTGAAAAATCTTGTGGAGGCACTGGAGACTAAAAATCCATTTCATTCATTCATTCACTCTAAGAGACTCAAGTTATTATAGATTGTTTAAGGTCATGAGACAAAGAATCGAAACAAATTCTAATATTTTCTAATAATTACTTCGTGGGTTATGACTCCTAATCAGATTTTCATGTGTTGTAAATGTTCTCATAACTAACAAAAGAAAAAATATGCGACAACACTTGTTGACTGCCATGACGACTTAGCTGCTGTGGGCGTATGTTTTATTGCCTGGCAACCTATCTTTGGTTTAATTTATGATCACGAAATAAATCTTATTAGCACCTTATAGTTTATAGGTTTAATTTATGATCACCAAAAAATCTTGTTAGCAACTTATAGGTTTGATTTAGGATCACGAAAAAAATCTTAACACCAATTTGGTTTAATTTAGGATCGCGAAAAAGATCTCTTTAGCACCTTATAGGTTTAGTTTATGATCTGATCATTCTAAAATTTGTTTGAGTTATATATTTCATGACTTAGCCTGGTAGATCAACCTGGCTGTTGTTTTCTTACCTGCTAATCAATGCTTTCAAAGTTTGTCACATTTTCTTTAAATAAGAGACCTAGTTTAATGATTCTGTCATTTCATTTACAGTTTGAAAATGGAGTGTGAAAAACTGGCACAGGAGAAAACTGAAATGCAGAGACATTATGTCATGGTAAGTTGAAGAAGCTGATAAATAATTATTTAAATACACTCTACTTCAATAAAATTTGGAACAAACTGTCAACATTGCTAATTACATGTACATGTAGGTCTATATTTTTGTCCCTCGTCTGTCAACCTTAAAAAAAAGTATTACGTAAGATTTAGATAATGAGCTGGTCATTTTGCTAGAAAAATTAATATTAAAACTTTCCGTCAAATAATTTTATTCTGAGCAAAGTTATGAATGGTTGAAGTTTTGACAAGACTAAGCCTTAATTTGCTACAATAATAAAAAAAAAGTCTTGATTATCCATTGTGTGTGGGTGTTCTAATTCATTTGATATCTACACCATCCGATGCTCTAGAGAGTTGATTATGGGATTGCCATGTGAATAAATGTCTTAAACAATAATTTATAGAATTAATTTACATGTAAAGTCTGAAAAAAGACCTACAATAGGAAGATTTAGCTCATAATGCATCCTTAAAGAATTGATTCATGATGTCACTGACAGAACTAACAATTTGAAACGTAGAAGCATGATGGAAGGATTGTTTTGACACATTAACTATAAGAATTTGACAGATTAACTAAAACATTGCAATTTAAAGCTTGGGGAAGGCTCCATTGAAAGACCTGGCAGTATTGATGACATCACCAACACATTGAATCGTGGGCTGGTCACCTAGATTTATTTCAAAAGTTGTTCTAAGAGTAGAAGATGTCATCATTTTCTATCTATTCCGGGATCCATGGTGGCTAAGTTAGTAAGACGCTCGCCAAATAGTGCCTGCACCACCCATAAACAAACATCCATAAGTGATACAAATGAGCCCCACAATATGAATAAACCTATCAAGTCATGCATGCACTGTGTCCATTTGCGGATGGGACGAAAAACCGAGGTCCCATGTACACATTGGCGTGCACGTAAAAGATCCCTTGGCAGTTGGAATTCGATATAAGAGTAGGCCGTAGCGCCGCTGCCCGGGCAAAATTTCCCTCATAGCACACTGTATGGCGTATGCCCGTCTTCATTAGCCCAGGTTAGGAGCAGAACAGTTGGACGTTAAACCCCATTTCATATTTCATCCTTTCAAATTGAGTTAAGGCTTCCTTAGCCTGTATAAACATGTATTATATCACATCTGCTGCTAGTGGACATTATGTTCTTTTCCAGATGGGCCTATGTATGTTTACTATTTCCCTACATTGTATCTATTAAATGCCAGTCTTCCGAATCATTTCTGGCAGCAAACTTAAAGATACACTATGTAAGATTTAGATAAAGAGCTAGCCGTTCTTGCTATAATAGTTTCAAAAATAGATAATACAAAATGAAGATACTGAAAATTTCATTCAAATTACTTTATTCTGAGCGAAGATATTAGCCTTTAACGGTTTAACAAGATGTGTGTAACCACTGTACTGGTTGTTAAAGGCTAAGCCTCACTTCCCGATTTTTAAATTAAATCATTAATTTTAATACTGAAAATCGAAGATGTCAGATGGCATCGAAAGTTGATTATGGTTTTGTCATTTTAATAAATGTCGAATTAATAGTTTATGTAACATTTAAAAAAAGAAAGTCCTGCAAAAGACAGATTTAGCTCTTACATAATACCTGTTTAATAAAGCTCAATAAGGCCACATCAATACAAATTTTTGTGCTTCAGGAACATTTATTAAAAATTTTGCTTTCTATTTCTTGTTGAAATTTGTTTTGTTTTTTAACAAGACCCTGAAAATTAATAATAATTTAATTGGTTTGCCCAAGCGTTGTTCATGTTCAAAATTATGTTGTTGACAAAATTTTTTCAGTGCTTGTATCCTCACATCACTAGATTTAGACATCGCGTAGAAGATGTTTATGTTTTTAAGGCGAATAAATCAGATGTTGAAGGATTAGCCAGACAGTATGTACGGATATAGATTGATGAGAAATAGAGGGTACATGTACGCGATGTGGATTTGATATGTTTTGCAAAACTTATAAAAGATTTGAAAATTGCGAGTAGGTGCGTGTTGGTGATATATGTAAATCTATTTATGTCTGGAAGGGTGTTATCGATGTTTTTTTTGCATCATGTGTAAAACTAAAGAGTAGATTATTAAACTCTAGCTAAGACTATTGATTTCTACAACCCTGTCACAATTTCTCTCGTTCCTTTGATTATGTGAACTGAATAATGAAACCAGGCTGCGTAAATTGGCTTCCAAAATGGAATTAGGTGTCTAAGATGAGATAAGTTTGAGTGACCTATCCCATTCTGTCACTGTTTTTTTAAAATTCATTCTTCCTCTCCAGTAGGCTGACATCTTGGATTTTTTTGTTCATCCTTCATCCATTATCCTCGGATAAAGTAATAGCATTTGTATGTAATTATTTTCTGGATAATTCCCTGAATGTCTTGTATCATTGTTTTTAATGAAACCAATTGTGATTCTGAGATTAAGTTTGTATCTTCTGTGCTCCCTCCCATATTTTGTTAATATGTCAAATTCAAAATCCTAATGTTTGGAAGTTAAAATCTTTAAGTCCCTCTACAAGTTAAATTGAACAAAGTTAAAATCAAGTAACAATGTCAGAGTATTACAGTACAATATTATTTCATATCTTGACTGCTTTACTTGATTTTGTTTTAGCTGTGTTTAAAAATATTTTTGAGAGATTTCAAGATTTTCTGAATTAGAACAAAGTATTTGGTTAATATCCATAGTTGCTCAGATGAGATAAACTAAGCTATGGTTTAGGTATATAAAATTAAATGCATCTGGTAAAGTATGTGATGATAAATTGAAATGTGTAATTGACAAAATTTTCAATTTTATTTCAGTATTATGAAATGTCTTATGGATTAAATGTTGAAATGCATAAGCAGGTAAGAAAACTTTATTTAATGTCACTTCTTTTACTGTCTGCTAGACTAGTAGTCACGACATTAATTCTTTCACATTTATTACCTGGTTGCCAATGTGACAAAATATTTTCAAAACAATAAGACATGATGTGGGATGTTGAATTGCCTGGGGGCGTTTGACACATGCTATTAAAGCTATTCAACATGGCTGACTTAATGCACACATCATTGCTTCACTAATAACCTAAATATTTAATCTCATTAAACAAAACTTTCTCCATTGATATTTTATTATATTAATATATTCTATTTTATTTTAAATAATTGATATTTTCAAATATAATGCAGTAGTAATTTTAAAAAGATGAACAGCTGTTGAGTCCTTCCATTTTGAGAATCCGCATTCAATGTAGACTCGTAATTTACAAATGAAACTGTCTTAATCAAAGTCCCTATTTATATTCACTTCTGAATGTCAAGGCTTAGAACATAGATTGCTTGAAATATCTTTTGAATTCAACAAGTTATGCATGCATTGTTTTTAAATGGACTCTTGTTATATTTTTATCCGCCCGCATCGAAATGTGGTCCGTCTGTCCGTGACCTGTCAGTCTGGCATCCACACTTTCTTGTGGACGCCTTAGGGGCTAGGGTTAATATCTTATTGACTTTAAATGTATACACAGTGTTTAAGGTCATGAGACGAAGGAACCTATTGATTTTCAACGATTTCTGATGATTACTGCCAAGAGTTATGGCTCTTGATCACTTTGAAATATCTTGTGGAAGCTCTTGAGGCTGAAGTTAATATCTTATTGACTTTAAATTTTTACACCGTGTTTAAGAGCATGAGACGAAGGAACCTATTGATTTTCACAATTTCTGATAATTACTGCCAGAGTTATGGCCCTTGATGACTTTGAAATATCTTGTGGAAGCTCTCGAGGCTGAAGTTAATATCTGATTGACTTTAAACATATACGCAGCGTTAAAGGTCATGAATCATGAGACAAAGAATCTATTCACTTTCAATGATTTGCGATAATTACTGCCAGAGTCAAGGCCCTTGATCACTTTGAAAATTCTTGTGGACGCGCTAGTGGCTAAAACTCCATTTCATTCATTCATTTATTCACTCTAGAGGCTGAAGTTAATATCAATTGTTTAAGGTCATGAGACAAACAATCAAAACAAATTCTAATGGTTTTTGATAATTACTTCATGGGTATCACTGGTTATCAGATTTTCATGTGTTGTAAATGTTCTTATTACTAACAAAAGAAAAAAATGTGCAACAACACTTGTTAACTGCCCTGACGACTTAGCTGCTGTGGGCGTATGTTTTGTTGCCTGGCAACCTATCTTTTCAAACGCATGTATGTTTACTAGCTCATTAGTTACGATGCACAAAGCAATGTTCACATAGTTGGTCTCGAGGCTATTCGCTGTATCCACTTGATCAAAACAGACATCTGCTCTCTTGAGAAACTTTTATGTTACTAGCAAAGGTGGCTGGCAACACGCTTGGCTGATCCAACGATATGTTAGAGCTGGGGTGCTTAGTTAGTCATGCTTCACTAACTCATTCATAAAATTGTTGAAAGGTCGGATTGTAATGACCTTTTACAGGTATTGATTATCCAGTCAGATTCTACCCACCAAATCACTGTACATTTAATTTCCTGTATCAATCTTGATACAATCTACTGTCTTTATATCTATGTACTGTAATTACTCTGATCTTTTTCTATTTTGTCATTTTTTGAAACAAAAATAGTTTTTGATTAAGAAATATTTTTTCCAATTAAAATCATGTGTTTTTATGGCTTATAATGGTCAAGAATTAAGAGTAACCTTGCAGTTTCTGAAATAATTACAGTGTTTCATAAGAAATATAGAACTACATATATTGTAGAATATTTGTGATATCCAAATGAGTACATGTTGAAAGGCCTACTATCGGTGGTTATGACCATGAGCTATAGGATTTCACCTCAAGCAGTGTGCGGATCAATATTTTGCGGCATCTGTCTGAAAAAAATCTGAATGTACAGAGCTGACTAGACTTGAAATATCATTTTCCAATCTTATGATGAAGATCGTACAAAAACTATCTTTCTATGTAGCAATTTTCTTTGCTTCATTTGACAAAATGTGTATTTTGATAATAGGAAATTGAATAATGAAGAACTATCTACCATAGTTATATTAGAGTATGTTAAGCACATATTCCATATTCAAGTTACAGTATCTATTAGCAGAATGGCTGCATTAGAACATCAGATATCACTTCTGATTTGAAAAGTTCACATGGCAAAAACCAAGTTTGGTATATATTTATTACGTCTTACCTAAGTCCAGCTACTATGTAAGTTAACATCGTTCAAGTGTGTCTTTGTATGATTAGATTTTAACAAAGCTTTCAAGTGCTTTTTTTTAAGGTGTTTCTTTTTGTAACATGATCCTTGAGTGGTTAAATACAAACAAGAATGTCAAGTGAAATACTCTGATTTGTAAGGGTTATTTTGATTGGTCTGATTTATGAGTAATTGGCAAAGGCACCTGTAACATCAAGGCCTATTGTTATTGTGTGGTCACTGCATTCAGTCTTCGGGCATCTGACCTCTTTGTCCATTTCGTGTTATCGTGCTCCTTCCATTGTTGCTGCATTATCATTCTGATCAAATAAACAAAATCTCTAAATCTACCCTCACATAATCCCGGCTTTTGCTGTGTGACACCATTATAGAAAAGATTAGCCCAAAGTGTCGTCTGCTTGGATTAATTGAAATCCATGTCAGTCAAATGAGCTTGTTTTTTTTTTTATATGAAATTGTGGATTTGATATCATGTATCTGAATGTGAATAAACTAGAGAGATAGACAAGTCCTTTTGAACATCTTACAAAAGATTTCTGAAATTTGATATCCTTTTAATTTCAATGTTGACTTAAACTTAATAGAATTATTAAGATGCACGGTTTTCGATTTTGCTGAAAAATTGTCAATAAATATTTCATTGAGTCAATATTTGTGAAATCTGTTGGGATTAAAAGGAAAATATGTAAGCTATGGGTTTTGAATCGTGTGTAAACATCAGGTCTGCATTGCTTGTGTGAAAACTATTTAAAACTGACTAATATTAGGACAGGGAGAAAAATCTGTATTGACAAGCGAGTTGGTGTTTGTACAAGCAATGAACCTGCGCCCACTAGAAGATAGATTCACTTATGTTGACGTTGTCAATATTTAGATACAGCTTATTGTATCAGAATGAAGCCATTTCAATATTAAATGCTTCTTCCCAACACTAGAATGTGATTTAAGTTTCTGTGGACATCAATGAACCGTGACAAACAAAGTATGTAATCGGTTATGATGGTAATATGTCGATAATGTCTGTCGGTGTGAATAGCTGTACACCATCTTCTTCAGCACACCCTAAATACAGCCCTTAAACAATACTTCTGCTACTCCATGAATGGGTTCCAATTATTATAAATACTAAATGTAAACAATGAAATGGAAAGCGCCTTAACTCAACTTATTTACTATGATAATATTTGTTCACCAAATTCAAACATAGATGAATATCCTTTAGACTAGTGTATAATATCACATTCAGCCATTTTGATCTATGACCCTGCGTACCAACTTGAACATTTTCAAGTGGCCGCCTTTTTTGTTGTGAGTCTTTGAACAACTAATGGGAGCATCGAATCATATGGAACAGTTTACGTTGGTGGCATTGTGTTGATTTTTTTCGACGTTTTTCACTGCAGTCAGCAACTCAATGGTGTTAGCTTCAAGTGTGGATGCAGCTGCCTTTTTGCAGACACAATATTGTATTGTTGAGCCTCGACTATTTATTCATTATTTAAAGGAACTAATATTAGTCGTCTGTTAATACTTTAAAATTTGCAGACAGACAACCAACAATATTAGAAATAACATTCTTTTTTTTCTTTTTTTTTGTGGCTCCATTTGTTGAAAAATATTTGAATAAAACATGAAATAATATACTTACTGTTCACTGGTGTTTTGAAAAGAAACAACTTGTAATATGAACTGAAAGGAGCAACAACAAAAGAAGATGTTTATTTTCAATTTGTATTTCCTCTTCCAAAAACCTCTTCTGAAATTTTTATAACACATTCTTTCTTATTCATGAAAAAAATATTTTCATTGAAAATATCGAAGGATAATTTGTTATAATGTAAATATATTTAGTAAAATACAGACTGCTGTTGTATTGTTTATTTGTTTATTACTCTCCGTAAATGCAGCTGTTTAGTGATTGCTATTTCATCTTTTGGGGCGTTTAAATTGCTTTTAAAAGTACATAATTTATATCTTGTCCACATTATGTAGAATTCTAGAACACCTGGTAACATTTCCTAACAGAAATATGAGTTTAATATGAAATTCTATTTGAGAAATACATATAACATGTAGTTAACAATGATTAGTATTGAAAAATAATAATCATGGCTTCAGTAGTAAGTGCGGGAGGACTGCACCACACACAAAACCCTGAAAGCACCCCACACACAAACAAAAACCATAAGAAAAATCTGCAGACAAACTACACAGACATTGCAAGCAATAAACAACAAATATCAAATCAAGTGAATTGGAAAAAATAGGGTAGGGAGGTAACAAAGACCAAAGAGGGTGCTGCTGTAGTGGATGGGGAAACCATCTTATTCTTCACTCTCTGTATCCTCAATTTCCTACCGGTACCCAAAATGTCCCATTCTTATTCCATTAGTTGGGGCCTACACTTTTCAATACATCGCATTTGCCAACTGGGGATAAATGTTATTTCCAAACAGAGCGGTTATACTGTACAGAAGTACTGCATGTTTGTACATGCAATTCTTCTTGAAACATATAATTTTAATCTAAATCGTGCTTGCACTAGGATTACCCAAGACCTAAGCCCTGGTAAAATTTTAAAGAGTTATTTCAATAATGTAGGCCTATTTTTATGAAATAGTGAAACAAGTACTAGTAGGCCTAGTGAAATTCTAAGTATGTTCTTTTTTCTAAAGCTGTTTTACATGTGACGAAAAAGGCCAGCAAGGTTGTTGAGTCTTGTTTTTGTGGTGACTTAGACTTTGTTCTCCTTTGTACTGTATTTACTAGGGGGTCGAAAACATGACTATGAATAGGCAATACAACTCAATATAAAGCATGAAAGACAAGCGGGGATTAGGAGCATTGAGTGTTTTTATGCTCAATAGATTGATATTCATACCATTACCTGCTGAGAAAATCTAATAAAAGACTGCTCTATAGTAATTACAATACAAATAATTCTTTTCTGTAACTGAATTACTTTACCAACAGTTGTCACATTTTACTTGAAATAGAGTTATTTCCCTTACACTGTAAAACTGTTTCTCATTGTAGAATGGCAGTCTTTACATTATGTCCAAATCTGTTTGGTTGGATAATGGCAAAAACATCAAGAGTCATTAATCTTATCAGATTATAAAAGATCACTGAATGTAGGATGTAGTTGTATATTGTCACAACCTGTGTCTGTCGGTCTAGTTCTCATCCGATAGACTTTAAATTTATACACAGTGGTAATGTTTATGAGACATTTCTCAAAATTACTGTCAGAGTTATCACCCTTGATCAATTTGAAAATTTTTGTGGATGCTTTATTGATAATCAAAGATTTCTAATGATTACTGTAGAGGCTACTATATCATGTGGGCGACTAAAATTTATCCACAATATTTATGTTCATGAGATGAAAAAGCTTATTAATTTCTAGCTATTTTCGATAGTTAAGACCAGGGCTGCCGACAACCAGTATCGCAGCGCAATTTGCGATACATATTTTGTCCGTTGCTAATCAAAAATTAAAATCTAAAGTTTTTGATTTGCAGTAACTGCGAATCATTAATATGCCTGTCATTTTGGATATTGACACAAGGATAATCCACATTTGAAGACTAGAAGGCTTTCTCAACGTGTATAAAATGTTGAATAAAATTTTATAAACAAAACTCAATTCTCCGTGTGACATTTTCTTCTCGAACTACCCAGACACAATTCATTTTTCGGCACTAAATAATACAGGGACATAACTCTATGAATAGGGACTATTAAACCGGAAATATGGAATCAAGTAGTACCACTCACGTTGTGAGACATCAAGTAATTATATCATATTCATTTTGAAAGAAATAATCCAGTGTTCCCCCACGTATTGTAAATAAAATATAAAAAAATAAATATATGTTAACGTATTGTAAAACGATAATCAAAGTAAAAATTCCCGTAAAATATTATTGTTTATATCGCGTGTGTCTAGTTAATCGAGGTGCGTCCGATTGAACACAAATAGTAATACACGATAAAAAGCAGACGAAATTGTTTTCTAACGAAGATTTCTAACGTAACGAAAAAATAACAATTAAAATGATAGGGGCTTCGGAAGTCACTGTCAAGAATTGGCTTCATACATAAGACCAAACTGAATGTGATGTAGACATGTAGACAAACTATCACAAATACTTGTGGCAGTGCTAAAAAAATCTAAGAATGGAATCTAATCATATGTCACCCCATGTGTTATGAACGAAAGTAATATCTTGTTATTTAGGTGTTTTATGTTGAAACTGAAAAACTGCTAATCAATTTTTAAATTTGCTAATCAAATTTGGCAAAATTGGACTTTTTGATTAGCAGTGCTGCTAATCAACTGTGAAAAATTACCGACAGCCCTGGTTAAGACCCTACTTTAGGCCTAAGCATAATTATGGCCCTTGAACAACCTGAAAAATCTTGGACGCCCAAGAGGCTACATTTATAATACAATTGACTTGAAATTTATACTCGGTGTTTATGTTCATGTGATGAAGAAGTCTATTGATTTTCAACAAGGCTAAAGTTATTATCTTGTATAACATTGTTGTATAATAACTGTTAGTATCAGGAAAAAATTGTTAAGCCAATAAAATTTAGATTATTTCAGATATTAATTACTTCATGGTTTGTTACTCTTGATCAGTTTTAGTGTCTTATGAATGCTGCAAAAGAATAAAGGTACAACAATGTTTATGGACTGCTCGAACGTATACTGTGGATGTTTTTTTCTTTGCCTGACAAATTATCTTTTAATTGTCTTGTTTCTTTTTCCAGACTGAAATTGCAAAAAGATTAAATGCCATTTGTGCTCAAGTGATCCCATTTCTTTCACAAGAGGTAAGACGATATTCTTTTATCATCTCAATCAAAATTTAATTTCACAGAGCAAGGGGGAAAATGAAGAGGAAAGACAGTTTCACACATGATGTAGTTTTAACCAAAACATTAAGTTTGTTTGTTATAAAACGAGAGCGAGTCACTGCCCTGTTTGTTAAGTCATTGGGTTTAATGGTCACTTCCACTGAGGGGGATACCACAGACAAAACCAATCTCCTCATTGACCAAACATCGGCAGTGGATCAGTCGTTCTTTCATTCAACTCATCACATAATTTAATAATAAACGTATATCAGCAATGACCAAAACATATTGTTTTTATATACCTACACTGAAATGTACGTGGCAATATATTGTCATCAACCCTGTCCATATTGACGTGAAATTTATGTACAGTGTTAAAGTTCACGAGACAAAGAATCCTGTTGGATTTCATGATATTCGCTAAATTACTGTATGTGTTACCACCCTTGAGGATAAAATTGTTATCCGATTGACATTAAATTCATTTATACATAGTCTTTATGTTCATGAGACTATAACATCAGTGATTTCCAATGTTATTTCATTTCCGATTGATGTATTGCATAATAAATGTTAGCACTAGAAAAAGTAGAAGCCAATAAAATTCTAATTTTGGGTTCTTACTCTTGATCAGTTTTTAATAACTGTAGGTCACTAAGTAGTTTCAAGAGTTTGAATTTGCACTGTTTATCCTTTAAGGGATATGAATCCAACAGAATAACAGATTGCTGGCAAATAATATTTCTTGATTAATCTCATTGTGGTCCCTTCATTTAACATACTACACTCCTTGTCTAATATATTTTCATAAATCCCATTCTGTGGTAAACAGCTATTTGATTTGAGTACTGCTTTAATAAAGTTATTGATTGTATGTCCCAAATGAACAGCTGTAGGTAGAGAAAATGTTCATTGTTTGACAGTTGATGGCCTACATCAATAGTTTTAATTACAATCAGACAAGTTATTTATTATTACACAGTATCATTTAAAAAAAACAAGAAAAACAACCAGTTTTTTATGTATTTAATACAAGTCTAGTGATGTATAATGCTAGGTTGTGTTATTATTTTAAAGTAAATATTTAAAAAGAATGCAATCTGTAACACAATAATAACTAAATAAGTCATTATAACTGTAATGTTCCTTTGTTTTCTTGTGGGGGATAAAAATTTAGCCATGACATCCACCTACTTTTATTGGTTTTCTGTGTCATTTGAATGACTAGCACATTTGATAAAGGTCCCCAGCTTTGGTTGAACCAGACAAGTTCTTGATTCAAGTTATACAATGAAATGTATTCACATAATGTTGTCGCTTCCGTCTGTTTCTCATGCACAATTTCCTGAAATGAAGAAGTCTATATAATTCTGATATCCACTGTTAAGAGTTGTCACCCTTGATCAGTTTGAACAATCATGTGGACACTCTAGAAATTTATAGTCATCAGTCAAGGAAGCCATCTAATAATTTTTGATAATTACTACTAGAGTTATTGCCCTTGACGACTTTCAAAATACATGCTGATGCTTAAGATGTCAAAGTTACCTTTCATTTGACTTTAAACTTATACCTGGTGTTTATATCCGTGAGATGAAGAAGCCGATAATTACACTAAGAGTTATTACATCTGATTTTCAGCATCAACAGCAGGTGGCAGCAGCAGTAGAGCGAGCCAAACAGGTCACCATGCAGGAATTAAACGCTGTCATAGGGGTAAGAGAACTTAATCTGAATATCAGAGACTTCTCGTCTCAAGCTCACAGTGTAATTAAATGTCACTTGATCTAGATTGAATGCGTTTTTGTATTGATTATCTTAAGAGAAGTATCCTACTGATCGTGGCCAGTTAAAAGAATTTTAGAGAAAACTTTGACAACTGTTATTGGAACTGTTTTAGATTTTATTTGTTCTTGGTGATTAAATTGAAAATAAGCTTCAACTTTGAAATTAGGTCTTTCCAATGAATATCTGTCATGGTTAGTAGAATTTATGATCTAACTGTATTGATATTTAACTTTGAGGACATCAAATTATAAAAGAAAATAAAGACAGATTACTTACAAATGCAAGTTTGATTACTGACAGTTTTTAAAGGATGAAATATTAATCATCATTAAAGTGGCTTGGCTACAGATTTCCATTAAGATGTAAATGATACTAAATGATTATTATTTCAGCAGCAAATGCAGGCTCAGCATCTTCCACACGCCCATGCCCCTCCCATTCCTATGACACCTCATCCATCTGGTCTACCTCCTCCAGGTGGATTATCTTCAGTTCCGGGCGGATCAGGATTATTGTCATTGCCTCATGGTACCTTTCCCACTCATCCACACAGTCTCAGTGCGCTGAAAGATGAAAAATGTAAGTAACCATACGTATATGCTGGGTCCCTGGTGTTATTTATGTTTTGTACGCCCACCCCATCTTGTAGGGGCTTCCTTCGGGAATGAGTTTTGTCACATTATCACCACCATCCTCCCACAGTCCCTGATGTACATGCTTGATCAATCATCTCGGGTTGTAACACACCAGTTATGTGTCAATTTAGCATCAGTGATCATGCGCAGAACATTAATAAATTGGTATGTGGGTGTAATAAATAAATGAAATATGTGATTTGTATGGAAATTATATTCTTGACCCAGATGATATTATGCTGTCGTAATTACAGCCCCATTGATTTGGATTGAAATTATATTTACTTTCTGAAAAGGTTTTATTTTGTATACAATGAAATGTTTTGATTTAATGTTTGATATTTATAAGGCCATATAAGAAAAATATTCTGAGTCTTAGATAATCCTGCATCACTTCAAAAGGACCTGTTTTTATTTCAAGAAATAAAAATAAAAACAGGCCCATTAATTACTACACATAAATATTTTATCCTGGTTACAGGAGGTAAATCTATAGAAAGATTAGAATGAATTGATGACCATCATAAATGATACTGGATAATCACACAATCCTATAAACAACAATTTATGTGTATAGAAGTCATTTATCCAAGTAATCATCATGCATCAGATTTTTGTTGAGGATTGTCTGAGAATCAGAATATATTTTGTATGGCCTAAGTTCTAGCTTGTTTTCATATATATTGTATCTTTATAATATGTATATAGTTATTAAATAATTTATTTGTATTTTTTTGGTATTTTTCAGTTGATGACAAGCATGTAAGTACACTTTATTAATCCATCACATCTTTTAACTTTTTTTTTCTTAAGTGCTCCATATTTGTTACTCTTTCTTCACATTTCTCTTCATCTTTTCATTTGTGTAGAAAAGAAATAGTCACATCTATTGCATTTTATCAAACATATTTCTTTAATATAATATGATATAATTGCTCTTATGAGGTCTCTATGGTGGTTTTTGTCCCATGTAATTGACTTTTTTTCTAGGTAAGATTTTAATACTGTAATGTAAAAGTTGTTTAGTACTTGAACGGTAATGATGAGATGAAAGCACATTGTATTGTTGAATTTATAAAGATGTGTAAAACTTGCTAGTTATTTGCTCACTAAAATTGGCCACAGTGTTTACCGAAGCCCTACCTTGTTTTCTTGTATATGTTGTGACTAGTGTTTGCCTTCAGCTTACAGGGCTAAGTGTTAAGTCCATAACAGCACTACTCACTAAATGAGGCGCTTGTATACCATTGACGATTCAGATTACCCGTCTGTTGACATGCCTCTAAGCTCATCTATCTCAAATCACCTTTCGTGGTTTCGTCGTATTTCTTACTTACACATTCAGGGGTTGATTTAATGAAGAGTCCGGGAGAATTAACGCAATTTATCTAAAGTAAACTCTTCTCTCATTCCTTTCACATTAATTAAACTGAGTGAGACCTTGTGTCGCTTTATACCACTCTTATACTCAGTGCTCTTGGCTCTCACAAACTGCGTGCATCAGGGATTTAAACACTAATTTCTTAAGTCAAATTGTTGTGGAATTTGTTTTTTAGGTTTGGTCATCATATGTTTTTGCAATGGGACTATTTGCTAGAGGAGGGAAATCGTGAAATTTGAAAGCAATTTAAATCTTTTAATCTAGTTTTAATTAATACGTGAAGTAGAACCTGCGTTTAGTGACTTACCAAACAAGGGAAAAGATTGAACACTTCTTATTGACATGGATGACATTTCAACGAGAAAGTACTTTCAGGGATTCTTAATCTTTGTAAATATATTAAATGCTAGTTAAAGGCCAGCTCTATCTTAAAGAGATAACCAGATGAAAGGAAATATTTTTCAGAAGGCTGAAGTATTAATATCGTGTTAAAAAAATCAATAGCATCCTATTGGAATTTTTTACCCATTTTTCCCCGGTTAAATGTAGAACATATTGATAAGATAGATCTTCAGCTTGACTGAACAGATCGACTGAAGACTTGATTGTAAACTAATGGCTGCTGCTAGATTCTGATACATTTTTTTCTTCTTTTGAGATAAAATATAAAGATTTTTTTTTTATTACGTCTGGCTATACAATAGCCATTGTGATATTGATTTTTACACAGAAAAACTTGAAAATAATTGTTGGGCTTTTCTAAAGTTTTATCAAAGGTGCATAATATATAATTACAAAAGTTATCATGTCCCAAGAAAGATTCTTCCATAAAATATTGAACTAAAGATTCAATCAGATCCTTGAAGAAAGTCTAAAAAATCAATATCATATTCATGGATGATTTAATATAATAGTTTTGATTTTATACCTTCGAGACATCATTGATTGTAAAAATAACTTATATTCAGAAGAGACTTACACAAGTATGCAAACAATCTACAAGTACATGTATCATGTTCTGTGCTTGATTGATCAATTTGTTCATCTGATTCTCCACAGGTGATAATTGCAAAATTTTTAAAGCTAATATAACTGTATAGTAAGAAATGCATCCTAATCTTATTAGTAGTTTGGTGACAGATTGCATGATCTAAAAATCTTCAGCTGATCATTTACAGAACTCGAGTGTGCTTGTACTGTACACAGTGATAACTAAAAATTATGTTTATCAACTAGAGAGTGATCATATCAATCATAAAATAAAAAAGGATTTACTTAGCAACTGAACTATTGTTTAAAATTGTGAAATATTCGCCTGTAAAATAAAAAATATTGATTATTTGATTTTTATCGTCAGTATTTTCGTACTCAAATTTTGAAGAAGGTTCGTATGTACCAAATTCCACGATTCGAGAGTGCTTTTTCTAGTAGTAAAAATACATGGATCTGTTAGATAAGAATTTTTATCACAGAGATACAAAAGTCAAGATAGATATTGGTCAAAAATCATGTTACATAAATTAGCTAACAGGAAAAGTTATTGACATATTACTATGTTTGCTCGGTTGATATATAGATTCAGGCTAACCTTTGAAAAAAAAACTCTGAAGTAGAAGATTTGTCAAATAAAAGGTGCAAGTAAATATGTCTTGGGCAACACACACTTTTACAAACATGAAAGCGCCTCTGTCATGTAAACTATTCTCGATAAATGTCACAAATTGTTTTTCATCAGCTTCATATTACTTTGAAACTAAGCAAATGACATTTTTCCTTCAATGAGAAATTCTCCATTTCCTCATTGGACTGTGTGGAGTTAGCCAAGTTTAGTATGCATCAAGTGTGAAGTGTAAATATTGGGCAACGTAGAGTGTTGTTAGAAGATATTAACTGTTTACCCTTCTTCCTCTACGACAATATTTAATGTCTGTGGAGCGCAATTCATGTTCTCTACGTTTTTCTATTCTCTCCTGTAGTTGCATGAATGAGAAGCTCGTTAAACAAATATGGCCGCTTCTTCTGTCCACATGCAGTGTTTGGTCTTCCTGGTGACAAAGGATTACTTCTAGCTTGCTGAGAAATGAGTTTATTTTGCCCAATGAGCTTCTGGTATTTATACAAGTTATTCCACCCTAAAGATACAGTGTAAGCCAGCTAAAATAGGCAGCAGGGGGTGAAACTCGGCTCAACATTTTATTGACATACAGAATGCTATGTCTTTCATTTGTTAATTGTCTTCTTTTTTCTCCCTTCTCTAATCTTTGTGTACTTAAACTAACATTCTATTAAGTCAAGTTTGTTTTTGAAAAGATTGAGAGAATCGGTTGTGATAGTTGCTTTAATTTATGTGATTAGTTGAAAGAGTTAGTGTTTATAATACTACATCTGCTGCAAAATAACAATTATTGAAAATAACATATTGCAATATAGTGATTAATTTGGCAATGTAAATAATTTTACTTCAATTTATTTAACTTTAAAATGTCGTAAATAATTATTAAGAGAAATAAAGCACTGAACAATGTATGTATGGTGACATTTGCATTTGCCTAAGCCATCTCTCGCATAGTATTCAAAATTCATAGACAAGGTCAAATTGTGAACTAATTTGATTCTCATGAAGGAATAACCATTTACAGAAAAACTGTTTACTGTAGGCTACTTAAATGCATACACTGTTGTTAGTGGTCTGATTCCTATAATGTTTAAAAACACACAAACCAAGATAAAATTACTATGTCATAAAGATACACTGTTATCAGTCAACTGTTTCAATATCATATTTACCCAATGTCAATTAACTTCACATTTATTTGGGAGATTTGTCAGGATTAGCTCTTGAAATATTTCTCATGCTAACTGTCATACTTATCAATATATTTTATGGGGGGTTCTTGGGGTTTTTTTTGTTGTTTATTGGCAATCTGTAAATAATGTTATTATTGTAATGATGGTAGTTTTTGCTAGTTATCTCTTGATATATTAAGGTTTAAAAGATTGCAAAGACAAACTTTAAAGTCATTTTATCATATTTGATATCGGGACAGTCAATAAGACCTTGTTAAATAAACTGTGCCTTCTTCGACTAACACATTTATTGTAATCCCCCTAACCATAGACTATATTAATAGAGCACTTGAACATTTCTCAGCACTAATAAAATATGGACTTAAATTTGTTGGCTGACTGGTGAGAAAACCATGTGTAAACGCAGGGTTTGGACAGGTGCTTATATTGTTCCCGGGTAAACATAGCTCAAGTATTTATACAAGAGAAATTCATCATATCCTTTATCTAGAAATGACAGTCGAGATTGTGATTCAAACTAAGTTTATGGGACTTATTACCCAGTATTGCTTACACAACGTCTTGGTCAGCCTTGGTGGCCCAAATATCTATTGAATATCTTCAAGTGTTTGTTTAAAAGGAGCTATTCGCCTTTTATACTCCAAAGAGAGTACTTGCTATAATGTAAATGTTTGTGCCGTTCTTTAACTTTTAATCAGTTTGAAGTTTTCTCACAATGATTTGAAAGCCCTTTAAGACGAAGAAGGATAGGAATTGACATTATTGTCTGTAATCTTATTCCACAAACAAACAATCGTCTGCCAAGTAAACATGGCTACAGATGAAGTTAGCAGTTGGTGTCAAGTTTTTACACATCACGACTTTATTTATTCCAATGACAATTGAGTTTATTTGTTTAGTCTGTTTCAGTTACATAACAATTGATAGAAATAATCTCAGATATCTTTATAGTGCCAGTTGTTCCAAGAGGCTTTGATTTTACAGCTGACATCTTCTTTTAAAATAGACATTCACTTGAAATAAAATAAACATTTTGAAAAGAGAAACTTTGAATGTTTGATTGAAATGTTAATTTCTTTCAACACATAATTTATTTTCAAACTTTTATTAATTTTAACCAAATGCTGTTTAATAATAGAACATAGTTTTTTTTTTTTTTTAAATGATAGTAGATAATTATGTCCACAATGCTAAATATTAATTTTGAAATTATTTTTAACATTGCATTGGATTAGTACCAAAATCGATGCATAGTGATTCTTATCTTATTCAAATTGATTTCTTACAATTCTTTTCAATGTCATTTATGTGGATTGTATTTGATGTCTGAATTTGACTTTCTACTTGTAGAGAAGATCAGCATCTCCAGCAGAAAGAGAAAAATTCCGTCCACGAAGCCGATCACCTGATGTACGTAGTAGTGGTGAACCACCCAAAAAACGCAGACAGGAAGAAAAAGTTGTGGTAAGTAGATTATGCTTTTACAAGGTGAAGGATATGTGATTTGTGCTGGGCCTAGTAGAAAACCAGATTTCTATTACATCTTGATGAAAAGTAGATAGATATCAGAATATCAATGGGAGGTTTAAATTCAAAGAATAATGGATAGAAATGCTACAATCTAGTGGGAATGCTGTCTCCTTTGTAACCAATATTTATCAAAGTATTGTCTAGTCGTTTGGATGGGATAGAAAACCATTGGGGTGCACGTAAAAGATCCCTTGGCAGTTGGAATTCAATATAAGAGTAGTGCCGCTCCCCTGGCAAAATTTCCCTCATAGCACACTGTATGGCGTATGCCCATCTTCATTACCCAGTTGTCAAATATAGAGAAGGTGGGCAGGGGGTTTAATCTATAATGCTATAGATCTTAAGACCTTTTATCTGTGCATGTCATGGAGACAGATCGTACAAATAGCCCAGAGGACTTGATCCAGGTATTCCACTTTTTGCCCACTTCTACAGACACCTATGCACAATCAGATTATTAAACAAAAAATGTACTATATGTTATTCCTGAAAGACCTAATTTGGATTGAGTGGATATTCACACTTTGGTTCACTTGTTGATAAAAATTGGACCCTGTAGTCTGAAAGTAAAAAAATGCTGAGGAAAAGTTAATCATTAATTTGATTTATTTTCTATAATGTAACATCTGTATTATTACTGTTATTTTGATCAGTCGTACTATTATTTATATACTAGGGATTTGAACACATCTGGTCCGAGTTCTGTCTTATATCTTTTATATATAGAAATCTAATAAATTTCATGGACAATTGATTTTCATTTTCTAAGCCATGATTACAAATCCAAATTTATACACCAGCTGAACTTATTTGACAATTTATCAATCAGAATTAAAAAACAATATGATCTATATAGTTTGTTAGCTTTATGAGAGATATATGTAAATCCGGTATTAATTAATATGAAATGCTTGTTTAGGACAGTGATGGTGAAAAAAGTGATCAAGAATTAGTTGTGGATGTTGGTGATGTAAGTTATTTAAACTTTTACTGAATTTTTTGCATAAATTAAAGATGCATTATGAAGATTTAGATAAAGAGCTGTCTGTTCTTTCTATAATAGTTCAACAGTAGATAATGCAAAATGAATATATTGAAAATTTTATTCAAATTACTTTATTCTGAGCGAAGTTATCACTGTTTGAAGTTTTGACAAGATGTTGCGTAGATTGTAGCAGATGTTGGGTGGCCAAATTGTTAGTATGTGCACATTGTATCATAAGGTCTGTCATTGAGTCAACTGGTGTGGTTTCGATTCTCCGGTTGTACGTGTCAAGGAGTAGGGTCGCTTTTCCAACTTCGTGGGTTTACTCGGGGTCCTCTGGTTTCCTCCCACTTCTAAGGACCCTTACGTGCAAGCGAATTATTGTTAATCAGATCTTGGGCTCAATTCACCATTTTTAAATTGAATTATTAAAAGGCGATCGTGTTTAAATCTGATCCATCCAATGGTCTAGAGAGTTGATTATATGCTTGTCATGTGAATAAATGTCTAAATAATGGTTTATATAGCATTTGAAGTCAAAATAAAGACTTGTAATAGGCAGATTTAGCTCTTACATGATGTATCTTTAATCTGATTAATAAGAAAAATATAGACATTTTTGAAATGTTAGGTGGGATGTATAAATTTGTGTAAACTCCAAGACTGACAAGTTAATTGATACAAATGTCATCTTAAATTGCCAAGTATCAACATCATTATTCTATTCATTTTTAAGGAATTAGGTCTGCTTCTCATTTTGTCGGGACTTGAGAGTTCAACCATGTCATTTGGAAAAGCTTAATCTATGCCTGGTTGATTGATATATTTATACCATTATGGATTATATAGATTTATGATACTTGAGATGTAGCAATGGTAAATGTTTTAGAAAATATGTATAATAATAGCATAGCAAAAGCTGTAAATTCTCTTGTTTGAATTGATTAAAATATGTATTACCTATTGCAGGATAATACATCACCAATGAATGGTCACAGTGAACTTTCACCACGACCAAAAGATAAAGATCCAGCAGCTTTAGCAAGACATAAAAAAGAAACAATGAATGACAGAAGTAGTCCACGTAGTGATGCATCATCACATGCCAGCTCTAGTTCATCTAAAGTTAAGGAGGTAAATATTGTCATAGAAATTACACAAATCATATATCACAGGCAAACGTGTTGATGATCATTTCAGAAACATAATTTAGTGACTTATGCCAATGCTTTATTAGAATAATATCTGAGTGGTAGTCTATGACGGCTTTGATTGACCAGCTTGCACCACACAGACATTAGTCTGTTATATAGCTCAAACTAGCTTTTCTGAATTATATAGTTGAAATTAAGCCTGTATAACATCCTTAGGCTATGTTAGATTAAAAATCTGCATTTTCAAGGAAAATGAAATATTATGGTATGTCAATCTGAATATTGAACGTAAATAAGAATTATGTCAATGTGTCAGTCATTCTATAACCATGTATTTATTAGTCACCTATCAGAAACCAGAGGACAATACAGGTTTTCTCTCAGTCTGTCATTTGGAATTTTTATTATACTTAATCTCTGATATTTTATCGAAATTAAATAAACTGCTGTGTAATAGCAGAGTCACAGATCAAGTTTACATTTGTTGACTTAAAGTCAATAAAACTTCGTTTTTTGAGAATTTTAGAAAGTTAAAACTTTAAGGTATTTTATTGAAATTTCGTAGTTGTTGCAGACCATCTTGTGAAAATTCAGTTTTACAGAATTTATTTCATCTATGTGTATTTCGATTATATAGTTACAGAAATGTATTCACTGTGTCAGCCCCTTACAGATGCATACATTGTAAAATTTGTAGAGACCGGTAGGAAACATAATATATTGCTTCAACAAAAAACAATATTCTCAGAATGCTTGTTGACCTTATAATCTAAATAACTGTAATTCTACTGATTTAGTAAATAAAGACAATGTGTATATTTTAATGTAGAATGATAAAGCAGCAACACCTGTATCTAAACCTAATACACCAACAAGTACTGGTAGTACAACACCTGGTCCAGGACCATCAGCACCACCAAAAGGTATTATTTCTTATGTAGAATATATATCAAGGATATTATTAAATGTTTGTCTCAAAAATCAGGTTTAAAAATTACGTTGTCAATTCATCAGGTTTTGCTTCCCAAGACATGCTCTACTGGTTTTTCTCTCTTCTTGATTACATATTCAGTGCGATTGATTACCCCAAACGTCCACAGATGTTTTGGTACATCACAAAGATACTACTTATTATTGGAGATTTTGTTTCGTTTTATTTTTATACTATTCAGTTAACAATTTCCGATTTACTTTAATAAATTTATATACAGTGTTACGGTCATGAGATGAAGAAGCCTATTGATGTTCACCAATTTCCGAAAATTACTGCCAGAGTTATGGCCCTTGATCATTTTGAAAAATCTTGTGAATGCTTTAGAGACCATTGTTATCATCTGATTGATTTTATATTTATACACTGTGTTTATGCCTTTATATAATTGTTTCTATTGATACACAGAGTTAAAGGTCTTGAGACGAATAAGTATATTGATTTTCAAGGATTTTTGATAACTTGAACAGCTAAATCTATGATATTAAATGTTTTGTATACTAAACGTCGGCATGGGTGAAACAAGTTCTGATAATTACTTGAAGGTGCATTATGGGAAATTAGACAGTTCTTGCTAAAAAAAAATAGATAAAGTAAATAGAATATGTTGAAAATTTTAATCAAATTGCTCCACTCTGAATCAAGATTTTAGCTTTTGAATTTTAGGCTAGCCTCGATCATCATTACTAAAGTTGGTAGGATGAAAAACAGTCTTGATTATCCATTTTTACGTTTGATTATCTTACAAAAAATGTATTCCAATCCGCTGAATATCGCAGTTTAGCGTAATTTTTCACCTTTGAATATTTAATTTCATTAATGGAGCAATATGGGAGGTTAAGAGTTGGTAGTTCTCACTATAATAGTTAAAAACTAGATAATGTAAAGGGAATTTGCTGAAAATTTCAGTCAAATTGATCCACTCTGAACCGAGATACCGTATTAGCTTTTGAATTTTAGGCCTAGCCTCAATGACCATATCGGTACGATAAAAAACATAGTCTCGATTATTTACTTTTGGATTAAATCATTAATGAGCGTTGAGCAGCAAATCGGAGTCAATTCCAATAAATATCGCAGGCTGGCGATTACATCGAGAGTTGATTATTGTCTGGATAAATTTATTAATGTCTAATTAATAATTTAGATAACATGTCAGACCTAAAGAAAGACCTGCCATAGGCAGATTTACCTCTTGCAGAACCCATCTTTGAAAATTTTGTTCAATAATAAACAAATCTGGCAAATAATAAATTATTGGAGCTAAGGCGGTTGACTTTTGGCTTTTTATTATAATTTTGTTTGGATTATATTTTAGAACATTATTTATTTTTAAATTTCTGTTTTTCAGTTTATCCATTTATGCCCCATCCAACTCATGGTGCTGGAGGGGGCTTACCATCAGAACTAAGTCCCAATGGTTATCCTCCAAATGGTGTCATGCATAATGGTATTGGTGCCAGCCCTTTAAATAATTTTGGCCAACGTCACCCTGGCATGGTGAGTGAGGTATAGAAAAGTTAACATAATTTAACAGTGGTTATCAGTTGTAGCCATTGAAGAAATGTATTATCTTTAGAATATCAAATGGAATTTTTCCATGGAAAATTGCAACAGCACAGGTCAGACAAGTTTACATTAATATATCACTTTGTGTGATATGGTAATGTTATGCTAAGATTAATTTACAAGGAGAACTATTGGTAATATTTTTCTAATTTTCTTGTCCTTGCCATTCATGTATGACAGATGTTTTGTATTTTTTTGTTTTACTTTATTTCAGCAACAAAGTAATTACGATGCTCCCCATGATCACATGAGACCAGCATTAGGCAACATTCCAGGAGGAAAACCGTAAGTAAAATATAAGAATTTTAAAAGCAAGGAAGTGTTGTGAGAAAAGTGGGCGTGGTTTATAATCTACCCCTGGTAATGCATATAGCTACAAACTTATCCTGCATTTGATTGTAACTGCAATAAGAGAGATCTTGTCTGAATATTGGTTGATTCTGACTGGTTTTAATTCTTCTTAACTTTTTTGTTTAAAAAAAATAAATTTATTATTTTAAATTGATAGGAGATAACTAAGGTTTGTTTTAAATAATATTTAATATAAATGTTGATATTGTATTTTCAGGGCTTATTCTTTTCACGTGAGTGGGGATGGTCAGATGCAGCCTGTGCCGTTCCCACCAGACGCTCTAATTGGTCCAGGAATTCCTCGTCATGCTCGTCAGATTAATACTTTAAATCATGGAGAAGTTGTTTGTGCGGTGACCATCAGTAATCCTACAAGACATGTCTATACAGGAGGAAAGGTATAACTTCTTTCTTTTATCTAGTATTATTTTATCTTGTATTATTCAGTTGACGATAGCATACTTTATCAAGAAATGAAACCTGATTTTAACAGATAAATACTACAATAATACAAATTGATTTTATGCTTGGCTTTTTAGTATAATTTAAATGCAGTCTTTGTTAAAGATAAATTACTTTGAGAATAATTAGGCCATCTTTGATATTCTAAACTTATCTTTATCTGAAAGTATGGTATTGTATTGACCAGAAAAAATCATTATTGACTCAAATTGACTGCTAAACCCACCATTGCTATCCTTGCACATGCTTTACTCACATGTTGGCAATCCCAGTGCTTTGGCATCATCTTGCAAGTTTAATATATAATGATGGCTACATTTGCTTGATAAAGAGAGATTTGACCCTCTTCCAAACATCTAAGTAACTTGTATTCAATATAATTGTGTCATGTACTATTCTCATTCAGATACCAAATGCCACTTTAACCAATTATGGAATATTATGTATTTAATAGGGTTGTGTTTAAAGTGTAGAATATTATGTATTTTTCAGGGTTGTGTAAAAGTATGGGATATCAGTCAGCCTGGTAATAAAAGTCCAGTTTCACAACTCGATTGTTTGGTAAGTATATATAAATTATCTATGTAACCTAGACATGTTACGCATACATCCTGTTATAAAATAACAGAAATCTAAAACCACTTTGATCTGTTATAAGTCTGTTATGAGTGAGTTTAAATTGTTTACAATAAAGTTTTCATATAAAATATCAGCTCACATGTTGATGTGTATTATTGTTGTACTCACTATTAGGGCTATGGAGATAGAAGAACTTGTTTCTGATCTGGTTAGACCCTCCATTAGAAGACCAATTATTGTTGTAGTTTTCACAATTAGGCATTGGCACTGAATGAACAATATTTTTAATACAATGGTGCCCTCCATTAAAAGACACATTAGGTTTTTATAATAACTTATTTGCCTACAAAATAAAAAAATTGGGTCACTCATCAAAAGTTATAGATGTGACTGAATTTTTATAGTGTACTCCATCTGGTAGGTGTTCTTGAAAGAAAAAAAAAACTATTCAAGATCTGAGGGACACTTTTAGTTATTGAACTCCCATGACTGAGAAAGATTTACAGGGATTTTTATTGTAACACCTGTGTAGAATTTATAACCTATATATATAATTTAAGTAAATATATAAGAGTACGGATATGATATTATATCATCTACTTACATCACATGTATTATTCTCAACACATATTCTATTTTTACAGCAACGAGATAACTACATCCGTTCTATAAAATTATTACAAGATGGCAGAACTTTAATTGTTGGTGGAGAAGCGAGTACATTATCTATATGGGATTTAGCAGCTGTAAGTTTTTAAGTCTTGAATCAACACATGTTAATGTGTCACATATGTTATTGTCAAAACATATGTTAATATAATGTAACTTTATGTTTATGTCCTAAGTATGGGTAGGTCTACTACTAAACACATGTTAAAATACAGAAATCGCCATAAAATTATTTATCTGTCCTTAAACTTCTTAAATTTAAAGTATTCTTATTAAATAAACCTGTTTTCTTTATTCTGTTATTTTTCTTATCCAACATTTTATTATAACTGTGTATTTATTGTGTTGTAATTTTAGTGCTTTTTATTTCAGCCCACACCCCGAATCAAGGCTGAATTAACATCGAGTGCTCCAGCATGTTATGCCCTGGCTTTAAGTCCTGACAATAAAGTATGTTTTAGTTGTTGTAGTGATGGTAATATAGCTGTATGGGATCTTCATAATCAGACATTAGTCAGGTAATATAATCACATAGTAGGCTACTACTCTTTATTTCATTGTTCTATATTATCATCCATTCAGTATATCTCTTATATTAGCATCATCAAATTTATATCATTTACCTCATTTGTCGACCGAATCCCTTATTACAACACCAGGCCCATAGCTAACCCAAAAGTATTGGGGGGGGGGGTCTGGGGGTGCCGATGTATCTACACTTGATGGTCCGCGCCGAACAACACTGTGGACGCGCCTCCCTTCAGAGAAGGGTCCTCTCCCCCTGAAAATTTTGGAAAATAGGGTTTGCACCAGGGGAGAAGACCTATGACTGAATTTGCGATTTATAAAATTTTGAAGAAAGGAATACGACTTTATCGTACCTATAATAATTTATGAGAAAAACGAAAAGTTCGGAATTGGGTTAGTGTGTGACTTGCTTGAATCTTGAAGATTATCACGCTAGCTATGGGCCTGAACACCAGGTATTATTTAATATCATATTTCTGCTGTTCATTTTATTGTGTTTAATTATCAATCCTAGTCCAGTCTAATTCAGTATTATAACTCATAATTACCATATTCAATATTTATAATATTCTTTCTTTTGACCTTCAGACAATTTCAAGGTCATACAGATGGGGCTAGCTGTATTGATATTTCTCCAGATGGAACCAAATTATGGACAGGTGGTTTAGATAATACTGTTAGATCCTGGGATCTAAGAGAGGTAAGTCCTATGATTTAGAAATTTGTTACTACTTAATGTACATTTTGTTTTTTTTGGATGTTTGATACTACATAGCCTTCATGTTATTTAAAAAGTGATTTTTATATTGTAGGGGAGACAACTCCAACAACATGATTTTACATCTCAGATCTTCTCATTAGGATATTGTCCAACTGGGGATTGGTTAGCTGTGGGGTAAGTTGGGTTATTTATCATTGATAAAAATTATATAAGGTATTTTGTAATAAGATTAATTTTGCAATCAGTAAAGGTGTGCGTTGAATTGAAGAGTGAGCAGATGGGTGGTCTTGTGGTGTTTAACATGCGCTTTAGATCATAACGTATGTCATCGAGTCAAGCGACGGGGTTCCAATCCCACACTCGTATGTGAAGAGGAGTAGGGTCGCTTGACCAGCCTCATTAGTTTTCTCAGGGTACTCCAGTTCTCCCCACTGCTAAAGACCCCTATGTGCAAGCGAAGTATTCAAATAAATTGAATCATATGTTAGTCCCACAATAACTGAGTTGTTTAGAGTGGATGTTAAACCCCATTTCTCTCTCAAAATGGTTTTGAATTAAAATAAATTAACTGTCAGGAAACTATATTTCATGTTTCTATTGTGTGGATTTTCAGTAAAAAAAAACCCCAAAAACTGATGGCCTTTTAATTATTCCAAAACTTTTTTATAACGAGTTATACAAACTCAATGGTATAGTATGAAGTAGAAAACAGGTTTATTTTAGAGTGTTTGAGCCCCATTGGTTATATGTCATTAATAATGAAAAATGTTTTGCCCTTTATTTTCAGAATGGAGAGCAGTAATGTGGAAGTTTTACATCATGCCAAACCTGATAAATATCAACTACATCTACATGAAAGTTGTGTTCTTTCTCTTAAATTTGCATATTGTGGTAAATGGTTCGTGAGTACAGGAAAAGATAATTTACTGAATGCCTGGAGGACACCTTATGGTGCCAGTATCTTTCAGGTGAGAACGTTATTAGATAAATATGTGTTTTCTTTAATATTTCTCAAATGTTTTTGTAATTAGATCATAAATACATTCCATTGATCGAAAAATACAATTGTTGCTAAAAACATCTTACAAGATATTTAAAATAAAAGAACGATAAACTAAAGTGCTATCATGAATGACAAATTACCCTTAAGCCTAATTGTAAGACCACATGTGGATGAGTGTGCTAAACCTATATTGTCTGGGCGACAACAGCAACAAATGTACCTTGGACAAAATAGCAGCTATTGTGTGTATGGTAACTGGCTGTCTGGCTGTTTCAAACTCTAGTTCACCCAATTGCTTTTTGGACATCCACCAGTTAACAATGCATTCTGTATACAGGGTGGAGGTCATTTTTGATCTCAACCAGTCAAGATACTATCTCAATATGGCTGACTATTCACACTATATACTTTTTTAGTGCTATTTTACGAAGCAAAGATAAAAAAGTGATAGTCAGTATGTAATAATTAAATGCATCTATTATGGGCTTATTCAATTGGCATCTATAATTTTAGTTTTCCTTCTTATTAGAAATATATTTTCAAGTAAAAATAATTTTTGAGGGGCATAGCCTTTCGGAAATGGCAGGTTTCTAACAAAATCCATCAAACACAACAGTTAAAAATGAAATGGGGTTTAACATTCTACTGTTATGCTCCAACTGGGCTAATGAAGATGGGCATACGCCATACAGTGTGCTATGAGGGAAATTTTGTCCGGGCCATGGCACTATGGCCTACTCTTATATCGAATTCCAACTGCCAAGGGGTCTTTTACGTGCATACCAATGTATACACGGGTCCTTGGTTTTCCGTCCCATCCGAACGACTAGACAGCTGTCCTTGTCAGGTCTTCAATCCTGCACCACTGACAAGGGGAAAGCCATGCCGGAAAATCCTGATGAACTTTGTCAGCCAATGCAGGGATCGAACAGGCGACCTCCAGGCTAGCGAGCCAGCATCTTACCTGCTCAGCCACCGTGGCTCCCACACACACAACCGTTAAAGCTGTTTTATTGATATCAATTGGTGGGAGGGAGACAGGGATTTTGCTTCATTATAGTGTAACATTATTAAAATAATTTCTTTATTATTTCAGTCTAAAGAATCATCTTCTGTGTTGAGTTGCGATATATCTGGTGATGATAAATATATTGTTACGGGATCAGGAGATAAAAAAGCCACATTATACGAAGTTATATTCTGATCAACATAATGTGAACAATAAAATGGTGGTGGTTCATAGTCATCCCAATCACAGTATTAATACTTGATAAACACATATTGAACAGATGTGAGGAAGATGTATATATACACATGTAAGTTGTGCGAAATGCTGTACAGCGAACAGCTCTATATATATATATATATATATGTGTGTGAATTACATAAATCTTGGATATAGAAACAATCTCTTGTGAATTTGATACAGGAGAATGAAAGAGGAATGTACAGTGTGGTACAATTTCAGTGCTTGCCAATCAATTTTAAGGAAAGTGTAATTGGCTTTGGAGAACAAGGAAGGAAAGTGTTCATATTAACGTGTTCAAAAATGACTCAATAAGTGAGCTTTTAATGGATATATTGCATTGAGTTACTCCAGTTATGTGACTGAGATAAAAAAAAAAAATAAAACTTGTGGTGTTTAAATTTAAAACTTTTTAAAATGAAAGATCCTCAGCACTCATTTAGTCAGACTTAATGTCTGAATAAAAAGCTTGAAAACACTTTCTTCATATAGTATGTATGTGTGAACAAGTTCAAAACAATTGACTTCATCATAGGAACTACCTTTGTACTTAGTGCATAAATGATTTTACTGTTCATTCCCTCATAAAAGCTTTCTTAATACTTTCAATTCTTGAGTAAAGAGGATGTATGTTTTGTCATTAAAAACAATTTTTGACATGTGTAGAAAGTTTTCTTCTGTTAATATTTTGAAATGTATATTATGATTTCAATATGTGGTGCAGTTTATTGTTATTCAGGATTTTACACATTATGTGCATTTCTCTATAAACTGAATATTTTAATTTCAGATAAATACATGGCTGTACTGTTTATAATGTAGTACATACATGTAGAAGTTGTTTCTATGGTGATTGTTTCTAATAGTTCCTGTGATTTGTTTCTATGGAAACAGTTACTAAGGTGATTGTTGCTAATACTTCCATGGATTTGTTTCTATGGAAACAAATACTTAGGGATATGTAAAAAAATCTCTATTAGGGCATTCAAAATGGAAATGCTATTCTGTCTTGACTCAATTGTTTTGTCTGTGAAATTGCTGTGTTCCTGTGTTTAAAAGTGTAAGAATGTACAATTTAACCATGTTGTTATGTGTAAATGATATATATATATTTGTATACATTGTTATGGACTATATGTAAGAAAGTTACATGTAGCAGATATGCATGGTATAACTGTTGAATAGAATTATTATTATTATAATATATCTTATAAAATCTGAAAAAATACATTTCAAGAAAAGAGCCCATGTATATGCTTGAGTCTAAGTCGACTCGGAAAATCATAATTAATTCCATAGTGATCGCTTGGTATTGATGTAACAATTATGTTTTTGTGCCACAACTGACATAGGATTACTCTTTCACTTAATCATGTTTACACATAACTGTCATTATGTTGTGGCATAGGCATACATTGAGCAAAAGCAGGTTCAGCAATTTTTAGAATATTTAATTCAGCTCAACTGTTGATGAGCTTTTATTTAATAAGATTAAAAAAAAAAGACCAGCCAAAAGCGGCTTAAGTGTATTTAATGTTAAAATCCTGTCTTTTAGATAGTTCATTATTATTGTACAGTATAAAGTATGAAAACGTTTTCAAGTTAAACTCAATTGGTGCTTTTGAATAAACTGTCTATATATAACATAGAATATTAATTATTATTTGTTTTTTTGTAACTGACTATTTGTATTGTTTGGTTGGGTTGTTTTTATATTGTCTGGGATAAACAAAGTTATTAGAGATGATTTCAGTACCTTCAATTGTGCAATCTGTCAAGCAAACCGTTAATCTGTTTAAACAAGGTCCCAATTGGAAATTGAAATAATGGTAGCCTGTTGTCTGGGAAAAACTTCTCTCTTGGTGTATGATTGTCTTCGTTAGCCCAGCTGGAGCTGAAATGTTGGACGTTAAAACCCCATGTCATTTCTGTTCAAATTCAATATTGTTATCCTGGAAAAGACGAGCAATTCTAAGATTTATCTCGTTTTGTCGTGTCGGATGACACTCGATGCGGTGATTTACACATCTAGTTAAATTACACTCTCATATATTTAATGGCTTCCGAGTTGATTAAAATATTACTAACTACAAGATTAGTACACAAGTTATATTTAGTTATCAACAAATAAACGAAGCCAGTTCGTATGTGGGATGTGTGTGAATTGACGCGTGTGTGTACAGAGCCACCATCAGACCCGAATCAACACCCTGGAATGTGTACTATTCTGCTTACTCAAATTTAACCATGGTAAACTTCCTTGGCCTTTGCGAATAAATACGAAACAGCAATCAGATTAAGAGTATTTGTGGAGTAAACACAACTACTGCTTGAGCTAGCCAAATATCTTCCTTTATTGTCGAATTGGGAGCAAGTTATAGTGTTTGGTATTGTGTTAGCAAGGGAACTCCAAACCTTGTTCTAACAAGAACACATGAAATCGTGCAGATTACATGGATTTAGAAGGTTGCTATCTGTTCTATTCGTGTGAAAAAGATGAGTAGTTCATCTGGTGCAATTTAATGGTCATAAAATTCTTAAAAATAGGCCCAGCAGTATCTTGTGTCTTTGACTTATTCCCTAGAAACCTATTTGTCACAATTCATGTTCTGCATAACATCACTTAAAATTTAATTTACTGACTGAAAGTGACATTATTATAAGCAGATGTTTTAAAAAATTGCTATCCCTGGATTATTTCTTTCCTTAAAGGTATTATTTTGTTAATCCTGATTATTAGGCCTATGTGTTTTGGATATTTCAACATATTAGTTTTCTCTTTAAGAGCACTAAACTTCCCATGGCCGGATAGGATATATCCATAGGTCAAATAAAACTTCAATCTGCCTTGATATCCTTTAATAGCCGCTCCTGACACCGTTTTACATCTTCTAGTTGACATTAAGTAACAGACCCGGGCTGAATTCTTGTGTTGACACAAGGGACCAAGCAGGTCGAGTTACAATTAAAACCTACAATGGTCAGAGGAAATCCTCCATAGCCTAATTGTCACAAACGACTACCTACTTATCACCAGTCTTTTGGTTTCTTATAAATGTCGGCCACATTACGGGTAGCAAGGAAAACGACTGATCAAGAAAGACCACAGTCATTACGGGCAGCAAGAAAAACGCCTGACCATGAAAGAAATAAAACACCCTAAATCATGAGGAACAAGCTAGTCAAGCAAAGCTACATCAAACGAAAGATTTTAAGTCTCCCAGTCGGCATTTAGAAAGCAGAAGAGCAAAACAATCCACACATAGCGCCCCTATGAAGTCCTTTGTTGAAATCACCAAACCAGTTAGAATGAAATGACTGAATCCTCCCCTGGTTATTCAACCTTTAACCATTCCAAAGTAAACCTCCAACTTACTTATCTTGCCCAAATCAATAGGCCTATCTGTATCTGCACCTTCATGGAAGTCTGTCATGGGACATCGATAGGTGGTGTAGTGTAAAAAGGTCTTGTATCCTTGTTAGGGAGGTAAATTATAAAGCTTTCCTTAAATGCATACTTTAGGGGACGGAATCTCAATGAAAATCTCCAATTCCCCTCGAAACTTTTTATCACAAATGCAGCGTTATCAACATTAGCCACCGAAATGATCACGGAAAGCGTCAGGCAATTGAACTATGTATAGTGGAAAGCAACGAGTTGCATATGCATACTTTAGGGGACGGAATCTCAATGAAAATCTCTAATTCCCCTAGAAACTTTGTATCACAAATGCAGCGTTAACGACTATCAACACTAGCCCCCCAAATGATCACGGAAAGCGTCAGGCAATTGACCTATGTATAGTGGAGAGCAATGAGTTGCATATCGAAGAATAATCGAGAATACCTTTCACGACAGATATATATTACATATGAAAACAATCTATTATAGGCTTCCATATTCACATAAGTTGCGTCAAATTGGTGTTAATAATTAGACAATTAGCATTCCAAATCAGAAGGTATAGTCAGACCATCGTTTGGTATAATTATTACAAAGAGAAATTGAATAACTTTGTACCCTTCCTTGCACGTCTCGCACCCCCATCACCAAACGTACATGTATGTACAATCAGATGTGTATTTATTAAATGGTACGTGGTGCAAAGGGCTTTTTTACCGTATTACCAAAGAAACAAATTGACGTAGCCATGATTTTGTTCTAGTTTTTTCTCTGCAGTTTGTCAAATTGTAGAGAGCCCTTTATCTAACAAGACGAATCAACAACTCATGTTTCTGTCTAAATATTGGTCGTCTTGTGCCAACGTCAGATGGTTTTCAAGAATGCAAAGAACTTTTAGTATGTCTTGCCACAATATCAAAGACCTGCATAAGCTCGTCAAACCTTCCCTTGTTATCACCCAGCATTTAACAGGAAGTCTCAAAGAAATAAAATATTTACTCTTCAAACTTGTTAAAAGACAAAAACTGTTGAATCTGTGAGTTGGAAACTGTTTGTTCGTCAAGCAGTTTCAAGACAAAATATATTTGTTGGGTACATTGTTTACGAAGGATGTGCAAATAGCTGCTATTTACTGTGGATGTTTTTTGTGGTCTCGGTTCTTAAATGCTTTTGAAACGTTTGTTCTGAACTGATCTTTTTTTATTTTGACTTATTGTTTGCTGGCACTATCAAGTCTACTCTGTTCACCACCTTTATACAACACGGTGTTAATCAGGTTATTTCGTGAAATTCGGGGGTCAATGTCGCAAGGATTGACACTAAGATTTGCGACCACATCATAAACGTGAACTACCCCTAAATTGTTGAAATGTTTGGCATTTTTACCACCGGACATAACACCACGCACTTCCTCAAGTATTTCTTGCGTTGCATGCAATAACTTAACAAATTTATTTCAAATTCTAAGGCAAATTCTGCACTGATGTTTTTCTAACGACAGTAGACACCGTGTTAGCGGTATGAAAACTTTGTTAATCGTCTTTAAAACCAATGCATTAAAAGTTTCAATTCCTCTAGAAACATTCCAAATGCGTACATTCACCTTTCTAAGCCGGTTTGGAAACAGCAGAAAGGATGTCATCTGTTGTGGGTCAAAATGCTAAGATCGGGACCATTGCTAGATTCGCAAATCCTAATTTTTCACCTTTGAATATTTAATTTCATTAAAGGGGCATTTTGGGAGATTAGATAAAGAGCTGACTGCTCTCACTATAATAGTTAAAACTAGATAATGTAAAGGACATTTGCTGAAAATATTAGTCAAACTGATCCACTCTGAACCGAGATATTAGCTTTTGAATTTTAGACCTAGCCTCGATCATCATTACTAATGTCGGCACGATAAAACAACATAGTCTCCATTATTCACTTTTAGATTAAATCATCAATAAGCGTTGAGCAGCAAACCGGGTTCAAATCCAATAAATATCGCAGGCTGGCGATGAGTTGATTATGGTCTGGATAAGTTAATTAATGTGTAATTAATAATTTAGATAACATTATTCAGACCTAAAGAAAGGCCTGCAATAGGCAGATGTAACTCTTGCATAATGTATGTTTAACTTGCTATTATTCATAGGTAGAGGATTCTCAGTTTATGTGGAGGATACCCAGATGTTCTTTTAAAAATATATTCTTTCATGCGGTGGGTCGTTCTCACGAACGGATAATCCCTGTTGGTGAATGATTCCTTGTGTTAAGGTAAAAAGAAGCGTACAAATCGGTCCGTCGTGACGGATATTTTGTCCAATTACCAAGGTGAGGATTAAATCGCCCCTTATAACATATAGAGTTAAAATGTTGACACTGTGAATGACAACTGCATGACTTAGATGACTTGGTTGACAGATTGGGAAACATTTGAAGCACGTCCTACCTATCACAACATAGTCTTTTTGTTTGCAAGGATAACCACTATATAAATATGTTCTTGTCGGTCGGCTACACAAGCCTCTATCTCTGTCAATGTTTGTTACAACAAATATTTACTATTGTCATCCAAGCACAGAGTATAGGCTATTCTGTACGTTGACAAAACTTTGTTAAGTTGTTGAACTGGGTATTTAATTCTTTGATGGGCTGTTTGAGACGTGTCGCTGAACCTTGCTGACATGACCATACCGTGAATGTACACTGCTTGCTAAAACGTAATACTTTTTTTATATGTCGAGTTAAAAGAATAAAAGGAGTAATTTCTGGTAGTTTATTGGTTGAATAAATTGTTGTGACAGTGGCGTCGTTAGCAATAAATACAATTCTGCTGCACCCAAATCCTTTGATGTGCATATTTGGTCTTTGCGTTCTTGTAATCGACAAGTTGTGCTTCTATGCAATTTCCTTCAATTCTTTTTGCACAGTACGATCTTTTCATTTAATTTGGCTCCAATTCATATACCAGTCAGTCGATAAACACAAAAAGGCCTCTCTTTGTTCTTGCAAGATGTTACACGGATTACAAAATTTATCTGTCTTTTTAACTTGGCATTTTATGGTTTTAACCTATGGTATTTTATTATTTAATTCCCGACACCCTTTCCCGCCACGGGGATCGAATTTCCAAATTCTGTCGTGAAAAGGAAAATAAATGGTCGTGTTCGTATTTAAATACGCTTCCGATTACTGTGCACCCGGCTCCAACCAGAATTCCGGTCGTCAAAAGGGGGCAGGGTAGGTTGGTAGTCGGCAGGGCTGGAACGGCTTGGATCGATCTGTCCCGAATTGAAATGCTTCATCCTGAAATGTCCGCGATGAAAAAATGGAACAAATACGAGTAATACGTATACGTTCGTAGGTGACCTCACCCCTCTCAAGAGTGATCAGATATATCCTCACGAACCTAATTATGACACGAACCTATGAATAGCATAGACCACACTGTATTCCAGTTTAATGGGTGACCGGAACTGAGCTAAGAGGCGCTATTTCGATTCCTCATGTATTTTATCCGGACCCTCCGGCTGCCACCCCACTGCTAAAGCCCGGTCAATGGCCTATAGGGAGAATTTCATATTTTCTAAGAAAGTCAAAACACAATTATTTCTATGTCTTTTGCTCAATAGGTTATCAACTCACTATTATACGATCATGGGCATTATTTCCCACCCTTAAAAATCATTGACACAGGAAATAATAACACAATTACCTCCCTTGTTTTCCTATTTCCTCCATGGAATAGCTATGTTCAAACGTTTGAATTTGAAGCTGAAAATGATATTTTTGCCAATTTCTCAGCTGGCAATAGTGAATTATAGGATTAATAGGATTATTCTTAACAAGGTAGGACTGTTTATGGATACCATCTATTTTAAGGCTTTATTTTAATAAATTTTAAAATAATAACTTAAAAATATGAAATTGTAACTTTATACAACGTACATGTATATACGTGGGCAACCGAGTTAAAATAGTTCTTTATATATGAGAGCGGCGGGGCCGTAACTAGCTCAGAGCAACGAGGGGGGGCGGAAAGTGTTCTCAGGGGCACTCTTCCCCCCGGCTTCGAGAAAAATTTTCAAAATTGGACTGCCGGAAACGCTATTTCCTGCACTCTGGGCAGCCTCATCAATCGAGGACGATGATGCACTTGCTAGCTCAGATGGCGTGATCTCGTGAGCCACCTGCGCCAGCATCCGATAACAGCGTTTCCACTTGCAAATTCCAAAAATCCAATATTTTCGGAAAAAAAAGCTCAACTCAAAAAACCCTCATTTGAAGAAAATTTGACCAGAAAATCTCAAAATACCCCTCATTTGAAAATCTGAAAATGGTGAAAAATCCAGAAACCTGTTTAATAAAATCCATTTAAGTGGAAACACTGAGAATCCGATATCAACAACTACCGATAATTTTTTTCACCGGGGACGACTTTTTTTTATGGTCGACAATTTTTTCACGGGGGGGGGTGGGGGCTAAACTTTTTGCCCTCTCCCCCCCCCCCCGCAGCCCAGTTAGGGGCCTGGGTCCTGTTTCTCGAAATCTTAACTAAAGATAAAATCCAAATTTTAGTAGATACTTCAATTTTGATTGGATAAGCGCTAAAATCAACCTAATATTATCCAATCAAATTACTAAAATCTGGATTTTATCTTAGTTAAAATTTCGTGAAACAGGCCTCTGGAGAGCGATCGTTACAATATTTTGTAATATATTATAAATGGTCTGATTCCTATTATTACACGAGAGTTACTCCCCGTACAATAATGGCCGCCCCCATGAATGTAAACACAGACGATGAACAGAACACAGAAAATGAAGACAATAACTTGTGTGATTTTCTATTTACATTATCAGATTTGGCGGAGGAAACCATGACACAGCTTCCAGTCGTGATACGGAGAGATGAATGCAAAGCGTGCACGTGGGTATTGAATGAGAATTCTTTTTACACCGTCGACGTCGTCTACTCCACTCTCCACACTTCAGTTTGACATAATAAATTATTATTGTGGAAGGCCCTCCCGATATGAGAGAGAGAGAGACACGCACACACACGCCCAACACGAACTAGGTCATTTCGGGGCAAATATATGGATCATATGGTACAATTTTATTTCATTGTTCGATCATTTGCTTGTGCATAGGACTAGGAGTCTTCAGTAGTGGGAGGATCTCAGGAAACTGGAGAAATTCAACAGATTAGACAGATGACCCTACTCCTTGTCAAGTAAAATTGTGCACATAAACCATGCCTCTTGAGAGACTTGACTCAGACCTTGTGATCTAAAGCATGTGAGTTACATGTAGGCTAGACCATGCGGCATGTTGGGAGAGAGAGAGAGAGAAATGGGGTTTAACGTCCACTCGACACAAACTAGGTCATTTCGGGACTAACACATGGTTCAATTTTATTTCAATAATTTGCTTGCATGTAGGGGTCTTTAGCAGTGGGAGGAAACCGGAGGACCCGGAGAAAACCCACAAGGTTGGACAGGTGACCCTAGAATTCTAGCTTAAGTTTTGCTGCTGTTGAATAATTTAAATACAGCAAATATTTTTTGTTCATTGCCGTTAAATGTAGGCCTACTATTTGTGGGCTGTCTGTCTACAATTAGAATTAAATAAAATAAGTTAATAATGCATACTGCTGTTATTTGCAATTTCAGACGACCAATAAAAGTTTGTTGGTGTCCATATCTACCACCAAAACCCATTGATATTAAAACAAACTTATACATTCTTCAACATCCTTATGAGGTAAAGTATGATCTTTAAAAAGAATATAATTATAATGTAATTGCTGAATCCAAAATATCCCCTATTAACTTACAGACTCATACTAACTGATATCAACTGAAATGGGTTTTTACCGGATTTAATGTTAGGGGAGCTGTATAAAATATTATGCATGCAAGGGGGAAATAAATAAACACAAAGAACAGTTGGAAAAGCTATGCACTTACATCTATATTATGTTGACATAGTGACAGTGATACATGGGGATCTGAGAAGACGATTTCATTGTACACTTTTAATTTCAAATGTTGCAGCATTATTCTTGGTATCATTGTATACAAATGCATTTTTCTGCAGAGCTACTGAACCAATTTAATTTTTAAAATTTATTAGGAAGTAATTGAGACTAACCAGATTTCATGAAATAAGCAAATACTTTAAAGATATTATGAGCTTTTGATTAATAATTACTTTGTTTGTCTCAAGATAATGGAAAGACCCTGTCAGCCTAGCAGTTCACTCTCCTATGGCCAATTAGTCATTAACAAATTCCCTATAATGACAACAATGAATATAATAAATATTTTAATTCTATTGACATTGACATTTTTGTATTTAGTTATCAAGATGTCTACGAACAGCTCCGATGTTAGTGAGAAGTTTACCACCTGAGAAATGTCATGTTATACAGGGAAAGAAATTTCCACGCTCAAGGTATTTCGTTTAGTGGAGAGATTCCATGAAAGTATTCATTTGACTAGAATTATTTTTAAGCTTTCAACCCCCCACTCATCTAAAAACATAGCCCCCATACGTCCAATGATATTTGATAACTTGAACAGCTAAATCCATGATATTAAATGTTTTGTATACTACATGTAAACGTTAGCATGGCCCAAACAAATTCTAATGATTTTCTGATAAGTACTTAAAGGCTCAATACCACTCTTGTTGTAACTGAATAATATGTCCAAATCTTTATTCTGGTCAACAAATGTTTAAAAAAAAACAAAAAAAAAACCAAATTGTACTATTTTAGAATATTTCAATTAATTGATGATACAAATTTCATCTTAACATAACCTTATTTAAAAATTTTGAAAAATTCAACTTAATGGTTTAAAATGTCTAACGTAAACCTTTTCAAATGAAACTTCGATTTAAAAATATTTTCGAACCCTCTGGACAAGTAAAATAGGATGTAATGGATAATTTACACAACAGGTAGGACACTTAAACATCTAGTACTTAGATAGAGATATTATTTATTTTCTGGAGCTTTCAAGCCAGCAAGAGTGTTATTGTCCCTTTAATGAGTTGCTACTGTTAATTAGATTTTAGTGTATTATAAATGTTTCATTACCGACAAAAGTAAAAATATGAAACAACTCTTGCTGACTGCCCAGACAATTTAGCTCATGTTTCTTGCCTGGCAACCTATCTTTCTGAACTGAAAATTTGATCTTTAAAACCGTAAATCTGCAAATACCATACCTGACAAATGAAATCAATTACAGCTATTAAACAGCTAAGTCAAGTTGGAATATCCAGTTGTTTTGACACCATCATCGGATTCAAGTCATTTACTTGCATTGCCTGACATATAATGTTGAAAAATAAATTCTTTGCAGTCTTAACTTTGAAAAAGTTAAAATGCTATGTTAAAATGAGAGCTGTTTAAAATTTTCAGGCATCCAGATCTTTTGGAAATTATGGAATCTCCTAAAACCATTATGTTAAGTCCGGGTCCTGATGCAATTGATATAGAAACATTGCCATTAACAGACATTACGGAATATAATCTTATACTCATAGATGGTACATGGGCTCAAGCTAAGGGTATTTATTATCAAAATCCAATGTTAAAAATACCACAGAAGGTAAGTAAAAGGTAGTTATTAGTTAAACTCTCATAAGAGTAACAGTGAGGCCTTTTCTGTGGAATAAACTACCACAGTCAATGAAACAATTAACATAACTCGGCCATTTTAAATCATAACTCAAAACATTCTTGTTTCAAAACCCTGTAGTCTGTACCTATCCAATCTGAATTAAATTTAGATTTATGAACTGAAGAATGCCATTGATTTCCACTGATAACATCAAGAGTTATGCCACAATATAATCCCATGTCGTGTTAGTGTTGTGTAATATATCGGATATTCCAGTACATTGTATATCTATTAAAGCTTCTTATTGTTATTGACATTTTTTTGACAATAACTTTTTTTCACAGCTTAATCCATGTTGAAATGTACTAACATTAATTAACAAAACCAAAATACCAATGGTAAATAATCTCTCGCTTAGGATTTAGTTGGATGATAAAAAGACCATCAAAAGATTTTATCCGACACTTAAGTTGGTGCTGGCTTGTTTATATGTGTTGTGGACGAAACAACTTTAAACAAACAGCCCAAAAACTGATCCACTTAATTCTTTATTATTTATTATGAATCCAATGTTATATATTTATATACATTTTAAACCAAAAGGGTGTTTATCAATAGATTTATAGGTGGTGTTTCAATTCATCATATCAATGTTGAAAATTAATAGGGTTCTTCCTTTCAGTAGTATGAATGAAATGAAATGAGGTTAACATCCTACTTCTCTGCTTATTAAAACGTGCATAAACTATGCAATGTGCTACAAGGGAAAATTTTACAAGACAAAGGCGCTACAGTCTTATTTCAAATTTCAACAGACAAGGATTATTTAATGTACAATCCAATGTTTACACCTGAGCTTGGTTTTTCGTCCCATCTGAATGACTAGTTACTATTCCTTGTCAGGAACTCCATCTTGCACCTCTGACAAGGTGAAACCAGGAACTTTCTCGGCCAACCCCAGAATCTAACCGGATACCTCTGTGTTAGTGAGGCAGCAACTTACTCACTGACAACACAAGCTCTCTTTCAATAGTACCCAACTACACACAACCATTATAAATTTCAGAAACAAAGGGAAATAACTCTGGAAATTATAATGAAAATCATTGAAAATCAATAAGCATTTTCATTTGCTGTGTATCAGGTGTCGTCATCTTATTATTGCTCTAAAAGCCAAAATTACCGTCTGAACTTCAACATCCCTTTAATTCATTTTGAAAACAAAAGGAAAGATAACTTTTCCAAAGAGTGCAAAAAAAAGCCTTGACATTGGCCTAAAACATTCTGTTTTCTGTAAAATGAGATTATATTTTTATTATAACTCGGGTATATCATTGACTACAAACCAATGAGTCACTTAGCAACATAAAAGTATTTATATTAGAAGATCACATGCATTCCTGTGTTTAAAAGCCCTCTAAATTTATTTGTTTATGCCAGATATTAACATGTGGTTTGTAAAAACAAAGAGATAATACATATTTACACATTACATTAGACAAATCAACAGTGTTATATATCCTAATAAAACATGCATCTTCCAAAAACATCCACAGTCTTACTTAAACATGGCAGATAAGAGCATAGACTAAGTTATTATTAAGAAATGAATTCAAATCCTTTTCATCATTGTATCATTTACACTTATTTCTTTTTATCTCCCAGGTCCAGATAAATTATAGCAGTAAAAGTAAATATATTATCCGAACTCAACCCAATGACAGTTCGTTATCTACCCTTGAGTCAGCAGCAGTAGCTTTATCTATTTTAGAAAATAAACCAGATATTATAGATGTAAGTTGCATTTATTTTCATCATTATGCAATTAGATTAAAATAGAATTCTACCTCCTCACATTTTAGATTTATCACTTTATAAAAATATTTATTATTTTAAATTGAAAACAAAGAGATCTGATGGTTCTGTTTTTGAAAACCAAGTCCAATATGAACGATAATGTCTTGCTTTTGATTATTATATATCAGTTAGGTAAATTCAATTTGGTGCTTTTATTCACATAATTACTTCACTGGTTATTAAAATAACTTGTGTTATGTATTATGAAAGTCGGGTAACTTATTATTGTCATATATACTAACAATACCTATGTAACTGATAATAATCATCTAAACTGATTAGCCATGTTTATCACTGTGATCATGGTGATATTTGTGACTTGGATGCTAATAATATTTATCTCTATAGTATGATCTTGATGGTGTTTATGACCGTAGCCGAGACAATCATTAGGCAGAGAATAGTTCCCTGACTACAGTCTGATTCATGACCATAATTAGTCATATCATCATAGTCACAGTCATACAGATCATCATGATCACAATGATAATCATCATCATGCAGATCACAGTGATAATCATCATCATGATCACAGTGATAATCATCATCATGGCTATAGTCACAAACATCACAATGAAAACATTGATAATTGTGATCATGGTCCCAGTCATGGAATATTGAAATATATTCTTAAAATTGTCACAGTCAGTGAACAACACATGTGCATGAAGGTTACCAATACAACATTAATGATTTTTTTGTTGTTTTCTTGAAGTTATATTTTGATTGGTTTCTACTTTTCAGATTTTAACTAAACCACTAGTTGCATTGTGTAATTTTCAGCTCCAATATGGAGCCACGTCACATCAAAGTAAGGAATATAGAATGAAAAATGGATTATGGACAAAAAAACTACCCAAATCATGGCTCAAAAAACAAGAAAAAGCAGAAAACTTAAAGACTAATGATGCTGTTTGATGTTTGTGTTATTTAGGTTTTAGAAAATAAATAACGTGCTGTTCATGAACTTAAAGTAACTATCTTAAAGCCCCAAATGACAGGTTAAGACCATGCACAATAAAGAGTACTTTTATTAAAAAAAATTGTAGATATTCTTACCTATAAGATCTGATTAATTTTTACTCCTTTAAGAATAAGATTTTGTTTTCGAAAGAAATTATTCAACCCCATATAGGTGATGGGTGGGTTAACTTAAATGGCCAATATTTTGACATTTTTCGCCTAATTGAATTGACGTGATGGATTTCAATCAGATTTGGTTGATCATCACCTCGATTTTCAATCGTTCTATCGGCATTCTCTATGAGTGTCTGCCATATTATTGTTTCACCCTTGTGCTGACACATCACACAAAAAACCTTGTCGGCAACAAGGGGTAATCCAAGACCCCAGACATAAATAGGTTTTTGTATGCATAATTTTATTCAAATACGATAAAACTAGAGCTTCATATGAAGACTGGAGAATAATCAATCAACGTAAAAAAATTATTGAGGTATTAACAGTGAATTATAAGGTATTTTTGAAACCATCAAAATCTACAAATAGCATAATTGTCATTTTCATGTAGAATCTTTTGACGGGGTTGGTAGAGTACCTAGATTTGCTTTCAGATCTAGATTACTAGAATGACTAACACAATATTATCAGTAAGGAAGATCCCAAATACAAAGCTTGCACTGAGCACAGAACAGATTAGGCACTTGTAACCAGCATAATGATTAAAATAGAGGGGCGGGGGGTCCACAAGACGCTTTGTTTCCAATAATGTAATACTTTTAGTTTCTTATCAAATGGTGAATGTTGCCACTGCCTCACTTTTGTTCTATTTGCAGCATTATATATATACCTAACATTAAGTATCTGTCAATGTATAAAATTCTCGCTAGACAATTATGAACCAGTTCCCCACAAACATTAAGGATATGGTCGTGGGGTCCCGAAATACCAGATATAACGGACATTGTCTAATCCATTTAATTTTTAAGCCCACCAATATTCTTTATAGTTGATTATAGGCTTGTCATGTGAATAATTGTCAAAATCATAATTTATATAACATTTGAAGCCAGAAAAAAACCCCAACAAAAGGCAGATTTTTACTGGACCTTATGATCACCATATGTCATGTAGTCTGTCATGAGAAGTAAAACCAATTAGCACCAGGGGTTATTATTAGGTTATTGAAAATATAATATGCTTTTTATTGATATCTGTTAATGTATTTAATGTAAATAAACGTATATATTTTAAATATAGTAATTGTACATATTCTTGTTAGTAAATTAGGGGGGTCGGGTGATCGATCCCTGCATTGGCTGAGAAAGTTCATCCAGATTTTCCGGCGTGATGCAGGACGGAGGGCCTGACAAAGACAGCTGTCTAGTCGTTCGGTTGGGATGAAAAACCGAGGTCCCGTGTACACATTGGCGTGCTCGTAAAAGATCCCTTGACACAGTTGGAATTCGATATAAGAGTAGGATGTAGTGCAACTGTCCGGGCAAAATTTCCCTCATAGCACACTGTATGGAGTAGGACGTTAAACCCCATTTCATTTCATTTTGTTAGTAAATTAAGAAATCTGTGCAAGTGTGTTAAAGCTTCAGAATTATACTAATGGCTGGTAATGCCGTATTTATTTTGAATTCCAACTGTCAATGGATCTTTTACGTACATGCCAAATTCTACACATGACCTTCCAATTGACTACGCACTGATCCTCACAAGGGCCTCTCGTCCTGCATCGCTGACAAGGGGAAATCAAACTGGAAAATCCTGGGGGAACTTTCTCAGCCAATACCAGTATTGAGGGAATTGGGCCTTGCATCCAATTGGGATGAGTTGCCATAAAATCATGCCAGATATTTTTAATGGTTGTTAATATCATTGCAGATATTTTTAAGGCTTATAAGTTAATACCATGCCAGATATTTTGAAAGTGAATTGGTTAGAAAAAGGAAACAATTGCAATTGATAACATTAATCTAAGTTTACTATTACGGTTGATCTATATAATTATTTATTTATTACCATTAGGTGAATAGCAGCATCACATTTGAATACCTATATTATTAGAAATATACGAATCGTTTATTTCAATTAAATAGTTACATTACACCGTGGTCGAATTACATACGTGTACTCGATATCTTTCAACCATGTCATTACGATAGCTGAAATGAAAATCTTTAAATTAAAAGAAACTTCATCCCACCAAGATTCAATTGGCCTTTAAAGTTTCTTTGTTTGCATAGTGGTGTCTTTGTTGGCGTGTTTAATCTGTTTAAACCCTATTTACCAGCTGTTGATAGCTATGACATAATACATACTTCATCCTCAGCACACATAATCATCCACAAATGATTATAATCATGCTAACATAATTACCCCCCTCTTCAAGCTTGACGGCACCCCGAAATTATCTTCTTAACTCGGCTGTAGTGTCCTGTAACAATAGCTTATTAACCAACCAGTCTTGCTGAGAAATTTATTTTTGCGGGAAGAAGAAACTGGTTAGAAATCTTTTCAAGTTCGCCATACAACCCTGTGGACGTAAATATTGTATACATGACCTTCAGGTGTGTGAGGTATATATTGGTGTTTAAATGGGAAGAAAGATAAATAAGGCTAGTAATTTTCCTTGATCGTTGATCAAGTAAGCACCCAGTAACACCACACAGTTTGCCTAACAGATGAGCTTATTGTAAGCCCGACAAGCCAGTCTTTCCATTTGACTGGTCAAGCGCGTCCATCCCTTCAGACCAAAGTACTTCATATTACTTGTAGGCCTGTCAACCTCAAAGGCGTGAAAAATATGTTACGTTTGGGTGAACACTTGCCACCAAAGGGGATTATGTTTGTTATCTCACGGTGAAAATACACCACAGAAATAGCGAAAGGGTTGTAAATATCGCCAGGGGCAAGATACCGTCGCATGTCAATTATTCGTGAAAGGGGCGGGAACCTTTCAATTTGACATTAATTTCTTATTGGTCTCTCATTACCACCCTTACCAACCACGAAACCAATAAATTATTTCTGCACCTAACAACCGAGCCACTCAATTAATTTTGTCGTTTTGAGGACTGTTTATTCCTCATTTAATTAGTAAACCCACAGCCCTATTTCTATGGCGTATCTGTGTAAAATATAAGTATGAGGAATTAAGGTAAACATGTTCACGAACTTAATTACGATTCTTCATTCCCACAAATTTTCAACTGTGGCACAATAAAGACTCAGCTGGTTTGAATGTAATTCTTTATTAGTTGGTGTCAGAAAATACTATGCTAATAATATGCTAATGAATTGTGATTAGCAGTCAAGAATAATCAGGTGCGCACTGTAGATCGGGGTACTCTTCAAAATACAGCCTTTAGTAATGATATGAACAAACAACACACACCACACTCTCATAGGGTGCACCGGATTACCTGCCAACAAAGGAAGAAAGAATCTTTAAGAAGAAATATTCACAGGTGATTAAGTAGTTGTAATTTCACCCCCTTATTCTACACCACACATTGAAGTAAACACAACATATATATCGCTCAGGGCGAATAAAGCCCATGAAACTCAAGGCCCCTTTGTCACATTATCTCGATTTGTATAGAGGGTAAACGAAGCGTGTCTGTAGGGGTTGCTTACTATGTGTTTGGTTGCCCCATAATATAAGTCGTGAGATCCAACCAGCTTGAATGTTTCTAATTGCTCAGTAAAGATTTGCCATTCCGATTGGTTACTTGAAAGCAGAAATAGGCGTGCTGGTCCCCCACCTTTTGAAACAGGTTGACAGAACTGTACCTGTCACATTTTATATCGGTACAAAAGGAAGGTATACTGTCACACATGAACGCCACGCCCACTAATTAGATTTATTACCTCCCTTCCGCTGCATCGACTCTCTTGATCCATGAGACCAAAACGCAATTATTTTAATAATAATAAAAAATAAAAAAAATACATACAGTACATTCAATAATTGAAGCGTCTGGAAATAGTCATTAATACAAAGCATTATATTCAATACAAGAGTCTTTGTATGTTAAGGCTGATAGAAAATGAATTATTATATTGGTTTTACCTTGTCTAATACCCTGTCCTACAGACCCAACTTCCTCTTTATCGGGACATGCTGAACATTGCACACATGGAATTTTCAATTAAAGAAAAAAGGTTGGTTGAGCACATCCTTTTTGAATCGACAAACCTTTGTCCCATTTTTAAAAGTTTTATCAGTTTTTTTTTATTAAGGGCAGTTCTAAATATTAACGGTATGCCTAAATCTGTGTCCCCTTCAGCAAAAAGATGACCCTTAACCACTTCCCATTTGTGACTGTGCCACATCCATACGACAACCGAGAAATCCTTTGATTTATAACCAGAGGGAACACTGATATAAAACAAATCCCAAATCACGTTACCACAGTAACCATGTTAAACTCCAACTATAGTGTTTACTAGACAGATTTTTACCGATTGGACCCTGGGGCTTTTAGCGTCACGCTTGGTTTCTTACATTTCAAACCTACTTTGTTAATGTACATGTTGGTGATATGTGTAAATTGTTAACTATAAAAGAGAGAAAAATTATATGTTCTGCTTCGATGCCCAGATAAGGAGCGCGACACAGAACGATCATTGTTAGATAGTTATCAAATCGGGAAAACGACATCACCAACATTCTTTTGAGTCCGCGCATTATCGCCCTTGGTAAAACTAATTTAAGAATATAATTTTATGAAAGGGCGTAAACCAGGAGACGTTCTTTCTTACTGATCATATCGGCAGTGCTCTTGCGAGAAATATATCAATTTTTATAACGTCACAAATCATAAAAAAGTTATATATTTCGTGACGACCAACAATATATCTTGTTCATCTTGTAAGTGCTAACCTCCAAGGTGATGAGATAAAAACAATATGGCGTCATTTCCTGTTTATTTTATAAATTGTCAAATATGTTTTGAAATGTTATCTGATTTAGCGATAGACTAAGTGCCCTTTCAGTACTGGTTTTGCTATACGATTAAGGAGGAAAATAATTAAATTGGTTTAAAAGGCAGTAATGGGTCTTTAAACAAATGTATTCTGCATGCTGATGTTGGAGGAGGGGTTCTTATATGCTTGGGGGTATACTCGATCTTTGTTTCTCTAACTTTAGATCAAACCCACGCGGGGGGGGGGGGGGGTTAGCGCGTGCGTGTTGAATCAGAACGTCTGTCAATGAGTCAAGCGTCGTCTAGATCGGGGAGGGGGGGGGGGGGGTAGCGCGTGCGTGTTGAATCAGAACGTCTGTCAATGAGTCAAGGGTCGTCTAGATCCAACCTCGTGGTTCTTTTCCGGGTCCTCCGATTCCCTCCCACTGCTAAAATTGAGCCATGTTAGTTCCGAAATGACCTAGTTTGTGTCGAGTAGACGCTAACCCCACTCTCTCACTCTCTTAGCTGGGTAAACTGCTCATGTGAGAACCGGTGTCAGTTCTTCCTGTCACACCTAACCACCTATTTATGGAGGAATCATCTGGGGCCAGTCACTTGTCGTTAAATAAAGCCACTTTACACAAAGGGGATATCCACAATATAACCTTACCCAGAGGTGATAATTGTAAAATTTAGAGAATTTGACCTCAAGGCCGTACAGGAACACCTCAAGGCCTCTTCTCGCGTAGCTTCTTCCAAAGCCATACGTTACTGCATACCCAGGTAACATTGTAAATCTACGCCGTAAAGAAATAAGTTACCGTGGTTGTATATATGATTAACGTCCATAACATCTGTAATAACAATGTGATCTAGGAATAGAATGGGTTTATTTTATAAAGCTCTACTACCTTGTCTTCAAATGTTACATAACATGTCTATCAGAGTCTCCATATTGAAGCATGTTTGTTGATAGAAAATGAAGAAGTTTATATCATCGGCAAGGACCGCCCAAGATCTAATTGTTTACTTTGTAACATTAGCAACAGATATCTTTGGCAAGAGTTTCATTTCATTGTAGCGGATTGTTTTCTGTGGAAAAACGTCTTTTGCAGTTGAATGCGATCTGCTATATTTTGTAAACACAGACAGACCATAATTCACTCTTGGTGGTCGATTGGCTACTGCAATTTCTAATCTAGATATCTTTGTCATCATATCTGATTGTAGTAAGACAGTTGAGATGCCGCAACAGAGATGGAACAAATCGAAACGCCCCCTTCTTCCCAATCATGCCATTCTATATCGGTTGTGGAGAGAGTGTTTT